AACTATATACACGAATGATAAAATGAGCCTCATTCAAAGTAAAACAATCTAATTAATCTACACACAATCTACATTTCACTGTTTTTATTCTGTAATTCGTTGGATCCTTTGTGTGTTAATCAAAGCGCATGACATGTACCTGGTATCTAATTACAATTTATAATAAAAAATCCACATCCAATTAGAATCAGGTTATAATATTAGGTGTCAACAAGAAAAGAAATTGACAAATGAAAAAAGTTCCGAGACCTTCTAAAAATTTTGTCATCAAGATACCAGTACCTTCGGGCAGAATATACTACTGGAAATCACAGCACTTTTAAGACTAATTTACACTGGACACCTGCACGAAATATCAACCATTTTGGTCATTTTTACGCGATCTTATCAATAAGTCTTTGAGAACTAAATGTTACTGTGGAAAGTGTTGTAATAAGTGCTACACAGTCGAACAAAGTCCGTGCATCAACATTTTTTACAAATATTAACTAATAGTATTCAGGATCATTGACATAAGAATAGAACTTGTGCACTGCGGTGGAGTATAATTATATTGTGGGTAAGATTTATTCTGTTAACGTCTCACAGTATTATGCAGTAATATTTACTGATGGTGTTTCGAGCAAAATTTGTCGCTCATAATCATATCAAGGTATTCACACAACTTTCTAACTTCAATGGAATTATATAAATGAGGTTAGAAAGTTGTGTGAATACCTTGATATGATTATGAGCGACAAATTTTGCTCGAAACGCCATCAGTAAATATTACTGCATAATACTGTAAGACGTTAACAGAATAAATCTTACCCACAATGAAAGTTTTCAGGATCATTAGATAATGTCTTTTAACCAACCAGTAAAATAAAAAAAGTAGATGAAGACAGAAAGATATGACGCAATACTCCCTTGAAGCAACGTTTTAATCGCATCTAAACTCCTCATAACAGTACTTATTTCCACTTAGAGTCCTACGTGAAAAGATCCAAACATTAACAACCGTTTGGATATCTGTGTAAAGTCTCATTCATTCGTAAATATCTGAACAAACGAGTTTCAGAGATATCGTTATTAAAACCTCAGTCAGTCCGAGTACCTTTGTGAAGTCATTATGTTTCAAACCGATAAACTTTAACCCAGTCTGGTATGCAATCTTAAGTTTTAGATCTGAAACCATTATTGCATCACTTTTTTTATTTCCTTCACGTTCCTCAGTGGAACATAGGGCTTCAATCTAGTGCCTTGAAGTTTCTGTAGCAGTGCTTATTTTACAGGATGGGGTTGCTAGCCTTATGCCCAACCTTTCCTCTTCATCAGCGTTATTTCTAAGTTAGCGAGGTAAAGGAGTGCGCCGACTGGGGATCGAACCCCGGACCATGTGCATGGTCGGCGAGCGTCCTAACCACAATGCCACCGATGCAAAATGCGTCGCTACTTTGGTATATTTACCCTGTCAAACACCTAATTATACCTTATGCCGTTTTAATTCTCGTATTGTTTTCATGAGCACTATATAGTCAGAGCTGTTATTATGCTAAGCACCTTTTAACTTCCTTTTGCCAAAATAAAACACAAATGCACATCTTTTGTAAAAGCTTTCACGAAAAAATTGGTTAGCTCAATTAATTCAGTTCAAAGATGAAAATATTCTGATGTTACATTGTTCACCTAGTGTGACAACTGAGCTTAGAATCACTTTATCAATAACACTGCATCATACTATATAACAAGCAACAGAATACAAAGTTGAAGATTATTCATTTGTTCGGATTGTGTATTAAATGCAAACATCTATAGAGTATAAACATCTTGTTGAACAGCTTTGCATTGATTATTACTTCTGCTGGTATTGAAAACAAAAGTTTGTTCATTAAATTTCCATAGACAATATTTAGTTCAAATCTTTGATTAACATATGATGACACCTGCTGTTTAAAACAAAAGAATTCAAATATTCTACCTCTTCATGCTTACATATTTTCCATTTTTTAAGCAAGTGAACATGTTTGCATATATGAATGATACCGGAAAGAAGGGGAATTGAGAGTTTTAGTGTTACACAAGTGTGCTCTATTATATATAAGTAGTTAGAAAAAAGCATATTGTATATTCTAAAATTTAGGCTTATTTTTGTAGCTCAGAAGCTTATCAATGAGTATTAAATCAATGCATTATGAACCTTGACAATATATGCAACAAATCTGAAACTCCTGACAGAATCCTACTGATTTAGGATATCTGCCACAGAATGAACTGCATTCAACCAACAGTTTTAAAGTTCGGTGAATTAAATATTCTAGTAGGTCTCTTAATGCTTCTCGATAACTGAGACATATATTCCCTGTATTTAGAGCGGTTTTCATTCCAGTTTTCGAGGTTTCATAATAGCATTATTTTAACCTGTTCGCCAATGACTTTAATGCATTTGTTCCCCTAGGTTATCAGAAATATATTTCTTTCCACTGGCTGGTGGTTTGTCATACCTTCTCCAGAGATTTTTTGTCACCAGACAAACTGACAGAAGGAAGCTTCCATAGGCATTTTTACAAACAAATGAGTTATTGATTTGTCTTTTCTGCTGAACAAAAGTAAAATGACTGGATGGAAAAGAATCGGTTTTGTTTTCGGAAAGCTTTTCTAAAGATATTATTTAACGCAAGAAAACGTCAAATATATATGAATAGAGACAATTCACTTCACGAAATGTCTACCTCAATACGTATCACCTAACAATGGATGCTGCTCACGTCATACTGAAAGCTGACAGAAATTAAAAGATATAATCCAGATAACTTCCTTTATAGGACTGAATGAGCAGTTCTGAATAGTTCGAGTCGTAGCCTTGAACGGACTAGTCAATACTCATAATTGATGAATCTAAAAGTAGATGGAATTAGCTAAGAATTTCTCATGCACTTTCCAGGTTACTCTTTATTATAAATACTACACTAAAATAAATTGCAAACGTGAAAGAACACACTTCACTTTAATTTACTCCAGATTCAAAGGAAAAACATGGTAAATACACCGGGGATGTACGCGCGAAACCACAACCCCACTAGTCTTCTAAAGATTACCTGAATACCGAATATGTAGGTTTTTGTGGTCTACTTGAAGTCCGCATCCCTTTCTGTGTTTCTCAAAGGTACTTCTAAGAATTGAAAATCAAAATACAATTTTAAAATCTGCATAACCAAATGATGTTTGTTGTTCCGGCTTTTGTTGACTTTCAAGCTTCGTTGAAAGTTAGGTTAGTTGGTATTAATGACCGATTCTGCAATGGTCGTATAGTGCAGAAACGTGTCCTAAAGTCTGAACATTTCGAAGGAACTATAGCATAATACTGATATCGTTGTTCCGAGACCAAACAAAAGTTTATGTTTGGTCGTAATAGACGAAAGTGAACATAAGGGCTATATTTTATCCATCCTCGAAAATCAGAACAAATTTATTGGAAATTCTTCTTCGGAAGACTTTAACACTGCACAGTAAGGTGACCGACACTCTAGTGAATCTTTTGAATACGAATGTGATTAGTAATGCACAGAATTTCAGTTGACACACATTTATAATCTTCTGGAAACCCACAAACTCAGCATTCCTCTTTGCCTCATAGTGTCACTGTGCCCGTGAGGTGGTTACTGGAAATATCAGGTCCAATTAGACGACTTTTCCATGTTTTTGCTTTTAAAGACACCTTCGATTTAAAATGTCCTCATAACACTAATTTAAAAGGCGAAACTGAGTTTTCCTTTTATTTTCAAATGTACCATTGTTACAGACAACTCACATTTTATGTGACTACATTTCAGACAATTTCTTATTGCCGACTACCTTACCTCGCCAACAGGATGGGTTAAAATACGATTTGTCAACAAAGACAGTATCTGAATTACCGTTTACAAAGGAGTTAGTCAGATGCTTGTTCAGAAATATTCAACACATATATGCTGAAGATACTACTGATGGACAAATACGAAACACCACTAAAATGTTATTTCTTAATAACTATCCTTTGAAATTCACAAGGCTCTGTAGAAGCGTCAAAAAGGGCTTCACCAATCCATTAGAATTTCAAAAGGGGTTGTATATAAGTTCACCTTTCAAGGGTGATTACCAAATTCTTATCGTTAAACGAAGATTCAGAACTGCATTTAAATGAACTTACTATGCAGCAACACTAATTCTCTTAGAGGAAACGAAATTTATATTGTCCTGTAAGCCCTGATAGTATCGGGACGATAGTGTCGAATTCCACTGTGCTTATCAATTTGTATGTGTGGTCACATGTACATAAAGAGGACCAATCAGTCTCTTCAGTTTAGGGCTACGAAATAAATTTTTGAATGGCTGCAGAAACAAATAAAGGTTCCTGTCTCAACTGACTTTAGAAACAGATGTCTAATATCATCTATTTCAAAGCACATCATGAAAACAGTTCATCAAGCCGGTTTCACTAATGTCTTTAAACCTATATTTAAAACATATCTGGGTTATAAACTTAAATTCATTGAAGCCTTAGCCATAAAACGTATTAAACCTGTTCTGTGTTCGATCATATTTTAAAATGATCGTTACGTGTAGACATTTTTACCTACACTGACTCCATTTTGACCCTTTATACTCTATTACTCTTCATATAAATAAGTGTTACTAGCTGACGTGTGGTTAGAATGTCCTAAATGTGTTCCAAAAATACGTTACACATTTCATAAAGGGAACTAATTGTTTTAAATAAATTACGTCTTCTTATCGTTTTGTCGAAATATATATACAAAGGGCACTAACTTCTCTAAACCATTTAAAAAATTATTTATAAATAATTACTTTATTTAATAACTTTTTAGTTATAGTAGTAGTAATAATTTACAAAGTACGGTAACAAATCATATAAAACTACCTCCCATTGAGTACTGATTATTCAAGTCAAAATGAGAAAGGTTCAGCGAATAGTCAAACTTGTAATACAATCAACGGTTCGTTAAAGGCGAGCTAAATTGATGCAATTAGGTGAATTACAGTCACAGATTAAACACCATCAGGTAAGTTTAGAAAAGTTTTAGTTGAGACGAAGAATATAACCGCGATTATTCTGACGTCATTCGAAATCATACATATTGTGAAAGGAGAATCGCATAAACCTTAGTCAGTAACAAATTTAGTACTATCATCCGACTATATATCGATATTGTGAATAGTTTGGAGTTGTGTAAAATACTTTACTCGATGAATCTCATGCCAAAATATATTCAAACCGTACATGGTTAGTAGGGATTAGATTGCTGTTTGAGTCTCTGACGAGAAAGCACATCTTGAAGTCTTTGAATGTAATTTTCTCGAATGATGTACATCTGAATAGAGTATCACTTTCACTACACATATCATGTGACTACAGTTTTCGATGTAGCAAAGCAAACCTAACTGACCAATTTTTCTTAAATGACCTATAAAACTGAATGTCTGTACTCTTTGTTGTAGGCCTAATAAATTCAATAGATAATTTAACAATATAATAAACTGTAAAATGAAACCAGATTAATAATGTTACTGTTTTTTTTTCAAAACAAAACCGAAAATGTATGTCTAATCAAGAATTAAAAACTGACAGAATATTATGCGCACATATGTAGATAAATGAGTTAACTAAATATTCTTGTGTACTCCTTCCTTCAGCACACGTTTTCAAACAAAGATAAAAGGAACAAAATAGTTCAAAGATGGATATGTATGTGATTATGTATTTATTTCAATTCATCATTTTCACCGACTAATTATGCTCAACCACTTCAGCCAAAATGAAACTAAGAACAAAATTCAGAGAAGACAGATATACCAAACTCTTTTACAATCACAAACAAGAAAACGCAATCATTCAGACTTATTCAAATCTCTTGTCTTCTTTACCCTGTTCTATGCAATACTGTTTGGCATACTTATATGTCTTTTGGAATTATTTTTATACAAAATTATCGATGCAGATAAACCATACTTAACTGGCAGTTACTCATCACTGGAGAACACACCAGGTTTGTCAATGGTCCCAGTTACTTCAACACAAATGAATTTAATTGCTTATAAAGTAGGTGAATTTTAATATATTCTTTTGGTTTTTTTCTCAAAAATTAATTAGTTTGCTACGACTAATAAGCACACTCTAGGGAGAAATTAGGTGGGGATTGACGACTGGTACCTATTTTGGTAATGAAAAGTCGCATAACTATCAATACGTGATAGGTATTATTAAAATGATTACTACTAGAATTGTTTGCATTTTATTCACATACCTGATCTGGTTGAAGTTGGTCACAATAACTCTTCTGCAAAGACAATCCTTAATCACTTAATTATCCTTGAGTTCAACCAATGACTTAACCCACTAAGTGCACCATTGATATAATACTGTAATCATCTTGCATTGGCGGCATAATTTAATAGATAAGGATCCCTTAAGATTCCTTTTTTTAACATTATAGTGTAAAGAAGCAGAGGTACGCCTTTTATCTTGTTTAGACTTCGGGCCATGGGTCCGTTTAGATCTCGCAAAATTAACAATGATTATTTTAAGAAGCGAGGTGTATTGCTATACAATACTATCCTATCAACACGTGTGTATAAGGTGAGATTTAAAAGGGAAATTGGTCAAGTACTGGAAATACTAAATTGATTAAACTCAAGTTTTTGTTCTACAAAACACTCTGACCATCATTTCATTTTTATAAAAAAATGATGAAGAACTACCTATAAGAAGCAGTAGATTTTATTCTTTCATTTCACTTCAAAGGTTACTAGTGAACTGACCAACAGTCTACTGGGATTGATAAACTTGTTCTTTTGGATAGTTATCTAACTATGAGCTCGTAAATAAATGCTATGTTCGACTAACATCTGTAGTACTATGAAGTGAAAACCTACTGGAAACTTGTCGCCAAAGTTTACAGTGAAAGCTGTAAAGCTGGATGGTGAAAAGCTGATCTTACATAGGAAAGGCGGAATCGGACAATTTTAACGTGTGACGTGACGACTTCTTACAAGAATTTAGTAAAAACAGTTACGTGTGAGGTACTTATTGTTTACATTTACAGAGTATCAGTTTCAAGAAAATACTGTTCAATGTCCCAAAAAGCCATGAGAATGTTCTCTTTTCTGTTAAATGATTAAAGAATACACCAATAAAACTTGACAGATTCTCAATCAGTTATTTTCAAGAGTTAGCTGATTTCCTAAATATCACATCAAATAACTTGAATTATACATTCCGTCACCGGGAAATTTCTTCTTTTGTAGATGTTCATAATTGTTCAGGTCAATGAGATGTAATAAACTTTTCCCTCGAAAACAGCGATATGATTTTCCTGTCGTTATGCTCATAAAATTTACTACAGTTAAGATTAATCTGTACAACAGAATTCATCTAGGCAACACCTAAACGAAACATGTTAACTACCAGTGTCCTACTAAACAGAATAAATCACTCGTAGCTTAGTTAGACGAATGAAACAGGAAAACAGAAACTAACTATCAGTATTTCAGTCACCATTTTTTTTAAAAACAGCAATAATATCAACATCAAAAATAAAATTATAATACTAATTGACGACCGTAACTTGCATTTTAAGTTTCTAAGGTGAACTTATGTTTTCAATGGTAACGTTTTTCAGTGAAATGGTGTTTAGCCTATCCATAGTGAGGTTGAGAACATAAAATTTGCCCCCGAATCCTAATTCAAAATACCAATTGACAAAGAAATATTGATCTGTGAAGCTACTTGTTTGCCATGCTGTGGAACCAATATGATTTTCTATAAAACTGATTCGTAAGTATTTCCCGTTTGAACAAACCACATCTGAGACTAAGTACCAGTGTGCTACTGAAATCATATAAATAACTCAAAGTACACAGATTTTCCCAACACAAACAGAATGACACTAGAAAGCATCTTTACTTATGCATGAAAGTATCAGATGATGTTAAACTATGGTAGAGAAAAACTTGAGAGACTTTCTTGCTATTATCCGAGGGCCGTTTAATGTACATTTCACTAAGATTGCCAGTGGTGAAGAAATAACTTATTTGTTAAATCTTGCACTTTGTTTCTTATTGACACATTAATGAAACTACGAGAAAAGAGGAGTTTCTCCAAGATGCTTAATACATTCTGTGCACAGAAATAAATTTAGTCGTGTACATTTATGTGTTGACCGCATTCTGTCACCCACTAATAAACAATAGCCTTTCTTAAAATTCTTGCAGAAAATCCATTTCCAAATTTAGGAAGCAACACGACTCTATTTTCATACCACTTGTGTATTTGATTCATGCAAAAAGTCCTTTAAGTTCAGCTAAGATAATAAAACAGTACGATCGAGTAAACTGTTTTAAACATATTTTCAAAGTTATTTGTTAACAGTCATCTACAGGTGTGTTATCTTTAAAACAAGACAGCATATTTCAAGGACTTTGTTCTTCTCGAAAAATACCCATACTTTACTTTTACGGCAGTAGGATTTCAATGTCACGTTAGATAAGCTTTTGTGGTCGATTTGCATTTAAACTGATGTCCCAAGTGTCTTTGCTGAGACTTTAGACACTTCAAAATCCTGTCTGTTTCTTCCAAAACTACTACATCAACGACAGAACTGAAACATTCACTGTTCCAATTATCCATCCAACTATAAATCATCTCTTAACAAAAGAAACTGAAAGGCATGTAATCTTATAAGACACGATGTAAATATTTAAGAATGTTTTCTCACCGGAACAGTGTATTGCTGTGTATTGATTCTCTCTGAAAGACTCAGTTATTTGATATTAATGGCCCATGTTGAATCTCTATCTTTAAAGTATTCTTACTTCTACGAGTGACATTATATAATGGCTCTTTGTTTGAACAGTTCTCTAGCTGATATCAGTCCGTGATCAACTCGTAAAACAGTTCTCCTAAGAATTCAAAAGAATCGCAGGATGAGTTACATTTATATTCGAGACATTTGTCAACCTGATTTTAGTACGTTTTTCATTACGGCTTTTCATAAGCCAACTATGAATTTAGTAAGACATTAGAACTGCTTCTTAAATTCACTAAATTTGACAAGGTCTTAGTCAGTAAGAAGTGCAGCAGAACGCTAAGATGAAAGATTTAAGGTGTAGAAGACGAAGCCTTTATCTAGATTAAGTGGGTAGAAAGACGAGATACGCAAAGCAAACACACTCTAGCTTATAATGAAGAATAGAAAGAATCACTGGTATAACAGATGAAGCACTCACTCAGCTCTACAAATTTCAGAAATTAATAGTTATTCAAAAATTACTCACTATTCCAAAACAGTTAACATGTATCTAGTGGAAATGTTGTCGGCTTGTATTAACTCCTACAGTGGTCTAAAACTAGAATTTGACCTAGCCAACCATAGATTCTTGAGGCAGAGTTTTACTGCCAAATGCCAAAAGAATCTAAATCGTTATTGGAGACTCACTTAAAAAGACTTAAGCATTTGATCTTATTATCGGTGATACTTTATCAAGGAAACTGTCACCTATCTTCAGAGAGATCTGTATTAGTCCTCCGATTTTAACAAAAACTATTTTTGATAACTTTAGTTTCTGTTGCTGTTCAGTCTGAATTTTAATCATAATGAAAGAATTAACTAAAAACATCTTGGCTGGACTTCTTGTTTATTACAATGTATGTAAATTGGTGGAAATCATCCTAAGAAATATCCATGTAAACGTAAAAATCTAAACACATATCTGAGTTCGACAGCTGCACTCACCCTGAAGAAGCCTGGAAGAATATTCAGTCAGCCATAGACACAGCTGTAAAAGCTGTGAATAAGGTAAATCCAAAGGTGAGTAAAAACCATTGGATTTCGACTGCCTCATCCGAACTGATAGATGCTAGAAGACTTATTCCGGCGAGCTCCGAATTCAATGAGCAGCGAAAGCTGCACAAAAGGAAACTCATGAAAAGTCCCCGCAAGGACCGTGAACAGTGGTGGTTGACAAAGGCGAAAGAGATGGAAAAAGCATCGGCGATAGGCAACACCAGACAACTATTCAGGCTTATCAGGGAAACAGGTGGTAAAAGGCAAATGATAAGCGAAACAATCTCTGAAAAAAATGGCACCATAATTAGCTCCCAGGATAGACGTCTGGAGCGCTGGAAAGAACACTACGAGGAGCAGTTTAATTGGCCCACAGCCACACTTAACCTGCCGGACATCCAACACCTCCCTGAATGGGAGATAGACACAGGTCCTCCGTCCCTAACTGAGGTTACTAGAGCAGCCACTAATCTGAAGCAAGGCAAAGCAGCGGGACCTGATGGATTGACTCCAGAGGTATTTAAGTATGGTGGAGACAGTTTACTGTCTGCATTAACTGAGGTTCTAGGCAGCGTCTGGGAATCAGAGGAAGTCCCATCGGGTTGGTGTAAGTCACTGATCATCCCGATATACAAGAAGGGAGACAAGTCTTCTTGCGATAATCACAGAGGCATTAGCTTGACTAATATAGTATCCAAAATCCTAGGCTATGTAATTCTGCGTAGACTAAGTGGTGCTCGGGAGACACAAACACGAGAAAACCAGGCAGGTTTTAGGCCGGGTAGAGGGTGTATTGGTCATATCTTCACCCTTCGACAGATTCTAGAACATAGGCATTCCTACCGGCGTCCGACAATCATTATATTTCTTGACCTAAAGGCGGCATTCGATTCTGTCGACCGAGAGGTTCTCTGGCGATGCTTGGCTGTAAAGGGAATGCCGAGAAAATACATTGCACTGATTAAGGCACTCTACTCGTACTCATGCAGCCAGGTGAGGGCTTATGGAGAGTTGTCATCTGAAGTGGTGACGACTAGTGGCGTCCGTCAAGGATGCCCATTATCCCCATTCCTATTCAACTTCATCATAGATGTACTAATGGGCTTAACCCTAACACACTTCAGCGACTCAGGGATTGACTTGCTACCAGGGAATAATCTCGTCGACTTAGAATATGCGGACGATATAGTCCTTCTAGGCGAGGACGCTGACAAAATGCAGAGTCTTCTGAACACCTTGAGCTGCAATCTAAGAATGTTTGGCATGCGATTCGCCCCTGTAAAATGTAAGATGATGCTGCAGGATTGGACTTCACCGACCCCTAGATTAGAAATAGGAAGTGAAGTGGTAGAGCACGTTGACCGCTTCACTTACTTGGGAAGTACCATCAGCCCCAACGGGTTGATCTCAGACGAAATATCAGTACGAATACAGAGGGCTAGGTTCGCATACGCCAGTTTACGCCGTCTCTGGCGTAGACGCGATATCCGACTGTCGACCAAAGGACGCGTGTACTGCTCAACAGTCCGATCCGTCCTCCTTTATGGCTGTGAGACCTGGCCATTGAGAGCAGAAGACATGAAAAGATTATCTGTGTTCGATCATAGGTGTCTGCGTTCTATCTCCCGCGTGAAGTGGTATAATAAGGAGAGCAATATTGAGGTTAGGCGTCGAGTGCTAGGTAAGGCGGGGAAATCAATAGACGAAACTGTGAAATTACATCGACTGAGATGGTAAGAACATGTGTTACGTATGCCTAGTCATCGCCTTCCTCGACGGTCAATGTTATCTGATATAGGGCCAGGCTGGAAAAGAGCTAGCGGTGGTCAAACGAAAACATGGCACCAGTCAATGAAATGTACAACAGTTAGTCTAAGCCACGTAGGAAAGTGTAGACTTCCTGGTTGGGGTCCTCGGGACGGTAAAAACCAATGGCTGGAAACAATTGGTGACATGGCTCAAAATCGTTCTCAGTGGCGCAGATGCATCCGCTCCTTGTGACTTATGATTTCCGATGAAACTGTTCGTTTTTCGTTATTACTACTCCTTTGTCTCACACCTCTGTTTACTGTCTATATTATGCATTTCTCCTACTTTCTTCTCTTCCTTTGTGTGCTACATGGAGTGTGGCGACTTGAACTGCAGCACATCAGTGCAAAGTTCTATGTCGAAAACAGACAGACAGACAGACAAAAATCTAACTAGCTAATGAAAACTGCGTCAAGATGTATGGATCAGTGAATATTTGCAGTAAATATATTAAAATAATTACTATCAGCGTTTTACTTAATAGATTTAATACCTATTGAAGAACATTAAGGGCATGAGTTCATTGTCAAAGTTGAATGGCTGCTTTAGTTTATTGGGTCAATTATGAACACAATATCGCTAAGAATGAAAGAAGAACGTGACCCCAAACTTAACTAATACAGGATTTGCCTACTGTGTAATCAAACTGTGCTAACGAACGATGATTTGATGCTGTCGGCTGAGTTAAAAACAAGTTTGCCCATAAACTAAACTCTAAGTTACTCAGCTCACGCTTATAAGCCACATGTTATTTATGACCTATTCATCTGGCATAAACTGTATTCGTTGTGTTTCATTCAGGCCTAATTTCACGAAGGTATTTTCTGATATAATGGCAATCATTCGCAGCTCACGTGATTCAGCACTTCCCTTAATCTTTGGGCTTTGAATTGTCTTGCTAACCAGTTGGGCCTCACCGAGTGGATTTTTTTCCGAGTTTTATAGTATGTTGTCATCTGATAAATTCTGGTTTGGTCATGTCAAGAAATTAACATGCCGAACTTCCCACTTTCACTTTTTCATCTTACTTAATACAACAACTTGTCTTATTTTGTATTTCTATAGGATGGAAAAAAGGACAGCTTTTTGGCATATCACGATGCTCTTATAGCCTTCCTGTTGCACTATGAATACAATACATACACAGGAAATAGCTTACGTGATTGCTTACAAGAAAATAATTCTCAGACTTTAACTGCCGAAATGCTGGTTCAAACAAGCTGTGTTTTCAACCTAGACTGGTCATACAAATGTAATATCAACAACATGTTTGGTTTCGATAACGCATCTCCTTGTTTCGTTATTAAACTGAATCGTATCTATGGCTGGCTACCACCAATACTTTCAGAAGAGAAAGGTGTTAAAATCTGTTGCAAAGGAGCTAACCCGAATGATGACATACTCTTTGGCACAATGTGTTTATATGATGCTTATGTACATACAGATGAAGGATGTGAACGGCAGTGTGCCTTTATTCCTCATCAGTACTTTCCATACTTGAACCAAGAATCGTATAGGTCACCGCTTATTTTTCTTCAATTAGTCAATCCAAAAAGAAATGTGTTAATGCAGATACGTTGTGAAACAGTAAATTTACCTGAAACAATGAGTGTACAATTCGCATTACTAATCGATTAGAACTATGGTTTACTGTAATAAAAACAAATTTTCTTATAATGACAGATTAAATTACACTATTCTCTCTTTGTGGTAAGAATTAAAAATGTTTCTGTCTATATTCTTTGATACTGTACTAAGCAAACCCGTTGGGGTTAACTACTTGTTGACCAAAGTTCACTGTAAAGCTACTGTCTTCAAAGTCATTAACTTCGAATCAGTTCAAATATACACATCCTATTGTCTACCTGGTTACTAATTCTTTATACATTTTGATAAGACGTCAGCTTATAACTACTGTTCATTTTCATGTTCTTAAAATATCTATCAGAGCACTGCATTATTCCAAGTGTTCGACAAACCAAAGGGAACAAGATACATTTAGCAGCCATCTCAGCACGATTTGAGGCTTCATAAATATACATCAGCGACTACTCTAAACGTCTGAAGAACGTCATGTTATGCGGTATGCACATCACTGTTATTATTATTATTCATCCACAATGTCATTATGCACTGGTGCACGAATTTTGATTTCTGTCCATGTACTGTACATAACCACAACCGGACTGGGTGTGGAGGAAGTCATTTATCTATAAATGGCATTTGCGCTTACCTTTTAGTGACACATCAACGAAATCAAGCCCCCAATGCATTCTGAAGTAGTGGTAATGCGCTCACGTTGTATTCTGAATGTCCTCATGCTTGAAAAAAAATACATGTCCAGCACTTCATAGTTTATACTAGCACTCCTACTAGTACTGATTAGCGGTAAAGTTAACATCGATGCATGAGAAACTGGAAACAATTCCAAGCATAGCACAACTACTTCACTCGTCTTCATCAAAATATAGCAGTCTGCATGGAAAACGTTCACAGAATCTCAGTTAAAAACCTATCCGCCAAGGGATATTTCATTCATATATTGAAAAACAAGGATAGTTAGCATGACTGCGGAAATCATCTTTTTGGTAAAAGATACTACCAAGGAGTTAAGACAACTTTAGTTTCAAATTGCTCTAAAGGGGAAATACACTTTAACCAGAAAACTACATGTACTAAGCATTAGTTCACACAGTATAAACTGCAAAACATTATTTGCTTCTTCCTACTCAGCAAGTTTTGTAAATTACGTTAGATTGCTGCTAAATCGAAAGCATCAAGTTCAGCTCTCTGATGGTCAATGAATAAGTTGATTTCAGTAACTCTATTTTTATGCCGCTCAAATACTTCTTGTTGGTAGATACTTTCAACTAATTGATCACACCATTGATTAGCTCGTCTTATTAGGCTTTCTTCGCATTCATCCATTCGTAAGGCTTGGTTGTCTTTCGATTGAGCCAAACTATTTATCATTGTATCCCTGTCTGGGAATAATACCTTATTAATAAAAACAGCAAAAGAAAAAAAGAGATACAAAGTCTCACTAAGAAATGTGGAGAAAGACAGCGTAGAGGAATGTGTGCATATTTCATAAGCTTCCAAGTAATACCAATGTCATTTTGGAATGAAATATTACCAAACAAAACTTTCCCTAGACTCTAAACGTACAACTCGTTCCCAATGACTGCAGTATTGTTGATAGAAACTTGAAAATCATATATGCGTATATTTATATATATATAGAGAGAGAGTACTCATTTTTGGGTGACTAACTGCAGTTTCGCTTTATGACAGCATTAGTGAGACAATTCCTTCGTTTGTAGGAGAACCAAGATTAAACTGGGTTTTTATGCATACTTGTATGCCGACAGATCAGAACTTTGTTGCAGGTAGTTTTCTCTGAGCTGGGTCGTTTGATCCCGATCTCTAATTGTCTTTTTAGACAACATTTTCGGAGCTATTGATGCAAGTATAAGACATGGGCGCTGTGGTAGAGTATAACTCTATTATGGATAAGATTTTATTTTGATCAGTCACACTTCAGTTGGGCTACGCTTCACAACCGCACCACCCAGGACACAGAACACAGTAAAATCAAAATATCCACGTAAACTGTTTCCGGATCAGAACTTTACTATGGTGTATTGTGTGCGTTATATATCGTTGCTTGTGTCAGTGATTATGACAAATCACTTTGAAGACATCAGTGCCACTTAGGACAGAACCTTAGATGCTGGTGTGATCGTTTTGTCAGTAAACTTACTCTTCTATTTCTCCCATATATTGTAAAATCATGTCACATAGATGATACGAACTAATTATAATTCTGCAAAATGAATTGAATTAGTGATCGCGCAGATCTTAGAATTGTCGACGAATTATCAAGATTTCTGTTGACTTATGGACAAAATTCTCCCTGCTAAGTGTCTGATGTGCTCATTATGCTTGATGACGTTATGCTGCGATCCTATACTTAAAGTTAAAGATTGATCTAGACTGCATACGTTTTGTTAATAACCGAAGTCTTGAGGAAACTCACTCCCTCTCAGAGATACGGATACGCCTGACCCAATGATAAAGTCGGGTCACCAATGATATCTCGTATAATTGGATTATCTCTGCAAAATGAATACTAGATTTGATATGTATATATCTGTCTAGTCCTCGATGTTGGTTAAGATGTTTTATCTTGCTTCAGTCTGTGTTCCATTAAAGAATTATTGAGTAAGGTTAGTAATTAAATGCCTACACTAATTTATGATACAAATTAACTTAATCAAGCAAGTTTGGGAAGCTAAATATGTAAGCGTGAAGTCGTAGTAAGTCACAACAATCGTACGCATGTTTTGGTGACGATGATGTGTTTTCTCGTCAAATAACTGTCTTTGATATAAGAATAAAACTTGGGCACTGTGGTAGAGTGTAATTCCATTATGGGTAAATTTTATTTTGATAGAGTCTCACAGTGTTATACAGTAATATTTACTGATGACGTTTCGAGCACAATTTATTGCTCATAATCATATCAAGGTAATCACACGACTTCCTAAATTCATTTATATAGTTCCATTATTTTTCACTTGATTTCCACTTGATTTGATTGGTAGTGTTATTTTCCATATTTCGGGTATTAGTGATGATTCATTCCTATTGCACGTGTTGGGTGTAGATTCGATGAACAAAGATTCAGTAATCAACCTCTCTCTCCACCTACCTAGATTACTTTTTAGAATTTTAACCCTCTCCCACCCTATTGTGTGGTTGTGTGTTAATGCATGCATTGCAATTGCCGAGCTTTTTTCTAAATTACTTATCTTTTCTGGGTCAACCATTCTTATCTTAGCTAAATTCTTATGTTCTGACAATCTGACTACCCCCGACCTACTAGTTTGACCTATGTAGTTGACCTCACAGTCATTGCAGGGTATTTTGTAAATTATATTATTTTGTCTAATTGGGTCCACTGGGTCCTTTAACCTACAGAGCTTGTCCCTGAGTGAGTTTGTAGGTTTAAATGCCACCCTAATTCCTGCTTTATTTAGAATCCTACGTACATATTAACTCACTAGTAGAGGGGATAAAATTCACATTTGAATCGGAAGATGAACAAGGAGAGTTGGCTATGCTAGATTGTAAAATAAAACGAATAGAAGAAGGTAAACTTCACACTAGTGTGTATAGAAAACCAACGCATTCTAATAGATATTTAGATTTTAATTCGTCGCATCCGTTAACTGTTAAGGCAGGCTTAGTTAAGTGTTTAACAAACCGAGCCATAGCACTAAGTAGCACAAAAAAAGACCTAAACGACGAAATAAAACAGATAGAAGAAGCGTTGGTGTTGAATAATTATCCTTTAAAATTCATTAGGAAGATAACTAAAGGCCAGAAACAAAATAAAAATAAAAATAATTGTGGAACTAGTAATGATAACATAAATAAGAGAGAATATAAGTCATCGACAGTTATACCATATAAAGAGGGGACATCTGAGACCCTACGTAGGATTCTAAATAAAGCAGGAATTAGGGTGGCATTTAAACCTACAAACTCACTCAGGGACAAGCTCTGTAGGTTAAAGGACCCAGTGGACCCAATTAGACAAAATAATATAATTTACAAAATACCCTGCAATGACTGTGAGGTCAACTACATAGGTCAAACTAGTAGGTCGGGGGTAGTCAGATTGTCAGAACATAAGAATTTAGCTAAGATAAGAATGGTTGACCCAGAAAAGATAAGTAATTTAGAAAAAAGCTCGGCAATTGCAATGCATGCATTAACACACAACCACACAATAGGGTGGGAGAGGGTTAAAATTCTAAAAAGTAATCTAGGTAGGTGGAGAGAGAGGTTGATTACTGAATCTTTGTTCATCGAATCTACACCCAACACGTGCAATAGGAATGAATCATCACTAATACCCGAAATATGGAAAATAACACTACCAATCAAATCAAGTGGAAATCAAGTGAAAAATAATGGAACTATATAAATGAATTTAGGAAGTCGTGTGATTACCTTGATATGATTATGAGCAATAAATTGTGCTCGAAACGTCATCAGTAAATATTACTGTATAACACTGTGAGACTCTATCAAAATAAAATTTACCCATAATGGAAATAACTGTCTTTCTAGTGTTGTTACCGGGATTTTTTTTTGGTTTAAATTAGTTGTAAAATCCATCAAAACTATAATTCAAAGTCTTCACCATTTCAACAGGATGAAATCTAAATCTGCCAATTCATAAGACATACTTTTGATGCTAGTTTTATCTAGAACTTTGGATAAATAAGCAAGAAAGGGAATATGAATCAATGCATCTAAGATATTTATATAGTTCGTACATTTATTCCCCTTCATGAATTTGAATAAAGCATGAAGAACAGTTTTCTCAGAATAATTTGGTACCATCATTTATTTCGTCTGCCTAACATTGGCTGACTACAGCCTAAATAAGTTAATAAGTTTATATACAGAAAAGTTTTAACATACTTGCACATTTTACATGATGTCAGTTGACAGGAGGTTCCGTCCTTAGTGAACAGTGGTCAGAAAATTACGCTTATATCGATTTTAAACAGGGAGTTGAAGTGTAATCAAAGTGAATGTATGCATACGATGGTAAAGGAGTTATGTAATAAAGACGAGAGATGAGTAAGATGATAAGTGACTGATAAATGTACTGAGTTCAACTCCCAGGGAACAAACGCTTACAATAGGACCATTCCCAGACATCTCCTTGATAAGTGTCATGATGTGGAAATCACAAATTCCTTTATAATTACTAATAGACAGAAAAGCTCAATTCTCTTGAAGTTCGCCGAAGTAATCTCTATCAAACACCTGAAACCCAACTTGTGTTTTTAGAAAGAATCAGTAATCAGTCTTTCCTTGCCCTGTTAACTGGATGTCTGTATTCTCTCCTTCATTTGATTACGTAATCTTTGGCTATAATCCCACCCCTTTGATATAGTATAATTTTACTTGTCTTTTGTTTCTCTGATATGAGTGGAACTCAGTACATTGTTACCTAATTTATCAGTCACTTATCATCTTACTCATCTCTCGTCTTTATTACATAACTCCTTTTCCATTGTATGCATACATTTACTTTGTTTAAACTTGAAATCTCTGTTTAAAATCGATATAAGCGTAATTTTCTGACCACTGTTCACTAAGGACGGAACCTCCTGTCAACTGACATCATGTAAAATTTGCAAGTATGTTAAAACTTTTCTGTATATAAACTTAACAATCATTTATTTAGGCTGTAGTCAGCTAATCCTAGGCCAACAAAATAAATGATGATACTATCTTATTCTGAGATAACTGTTATTCTTGTTTTATTCACATTTATATACTATTAGCGAATTGTAACCAAAAGTCACTGCCATTCTTCGAACTCTAGCAAGCATTTTAAGGCATCGCATAAAATCCTTAAGGGCATAGTTTTTCCTCTGATTCAAATGTAATTTAAATAAATATTTTATGGATAATTAAAAAAAAATCTCACTTGATCTGTTTCTGTCAGTTCATTTTTACCCAAACGTTCTGCGTAGGGTAGTGTTGCTTCTGTTAACCGCTCATGAAAACCAATGGCAGCCTCACGACATTTGCTCAGATAGTTCTAGAGATTGACATATTAGTTAATATAAGTTTACAGAAGTACTAAAACATCTCAGAGACTATCAAAATACATCCAGATATTATCCACGTAATTCAGGGAATAATAATGTTCAAAAATCAGTCACTGAATAACACCTATCAGAATGAGATATATTTAGTTTCAATTGGAGTCTATTTACTAACTTACACTTTTCACTTCTAATCTTGGTTAATTCTAACAATAATGGAAAATGCAAATAATATCTCAAATTAGAGGTGGGTAGCAGGAAACTTTGTTTGACACCGACCTCATGAAAATATTCAGCCCTAATAAGACTGATGCTTATTCCTAGATCCAAACCTCTACCATTCGATTCCAAGGTCAACGAATTGTATACCAAGCGATTCGTTTCAAAACTGACCTTCTGCAGAACTGATTAATAAACGTCAGAGGGTTAATGGATACTGGCCAGTGCTGCGTTTAAGTTTTTGAAATGATTAAATAGACACTTATCAGTCCTAACAGTGTTGAGTCCTGACATCTTTATTCTGAAACAAAGTGTCTGCTACTGTGTCTGTAGCAGTTGCCTACATTAAGATAGCCATAACAATGTATGCTTAAAAAGATAGACTTAAATCGACGCTTTTAGAACTGGACATCCTGCTATTAATTTTGCCGACACCTTCTTCATTTTACATCTGGAATTCACACGACACTATGAAGTGAAATACTCAAAAGTGGAGAAGAAAACGGGAGCTTGAGTTTTTCTATCTGTATGTGTTACGTATTATTTTTTTTCTGACACGTTTCTCTTCAGCCTACCCTTGACGGTGTTATATCAGTGTATCTTCATTCGATGAATTCTGTGGTGTGAAGTCAACAGAAGAATCATATCTGCAATAAGATTGTTTGTCAAAGTATCATTTCACTTGTAGCTGTGATGAAAATTTCTCTTAGTGTATATTTATCACAATTTCACTACATTATTTGCTTCTTACGGTCAGTATGTTTTCTAATATCACAGCAGAAAAGACATATTCCTTAAATCTATAATAAAAGTAAATTTACGATGACTGAAGACAATTTGTGATTTAAAAAGAATAATGCCAGAAAAATGAAAAGTTATGATACATAGATGTCAATGATTACATAGTTTTGTGTCTTGTGCTACTGACAAGACTTCTCAGTAGTATATGAAGAGACGTTCATCGGTACAAAAATATTAAATAGCATAAGGATGAATTCGACATCTAAGAGAGGAAATGAACCACTATTGCGGTAAAACATGGGAGAGGCGAAAAGAAGACAAAGAAACAAAGCGAAGGAAAGGCAAAAGGGGGCACAACACGGAAGATCTGTGCAAATGACGATGGTAATGTAAGATATACATAATTTCCCTGTATGTATGTATCAAATTCTAAATCAGCATTTCGTCGCCAAATCTCTTATCTTCTCCCGTTACATTTTCACGCCATTCACGATATCTGATAAAGTCTGAAGCCACAGCTAGGGGTTTTCGTCAAATGAATAAGTATCTAGCGGTTTTTATATATTTTTTTTATTTCCTTCACATTCCCCAGTGGAACATAGAGCTCCAAGCTAGAGGCTTGAGGTTTCTGTAGCAGTGTTTATTTTACAGGATGTAGTTGCTAGCCTCATGCCCAACCTTTCCTCTTCACTGGCATTATTTCTGGCTTAGAGAGGTAAAGGAGTGCGTTGGCCGGGGATCGAACCCCGGACCATGTGCATTGTTGGCGAGCGTCCTAACCACTACGCCACCAACGCACATCTTGCAGTTTAAATGTATAAAATTTGTAATTCGGGCTGATATGAATATTCAGTTATCACTTATATCAATCGGTCAGGATTATTAGGCAGATAAAGTTTTTAGTTTTGATCTAATTAGTGGTATACTCCAGGTGCCTAATACTTAAAATCCTCCAAAGGCTGATGTACATTCTTCTTGATGCCAGTGTAACCATGTTATTTACCTTAAGAGGACATACAACCAAACAACATGAATTGTTGACAAAATAATGACATCCCATGTAGGAATAGTGCACCATAAAGAACGAAAATCTTACGCTAATTAGCTTTACATACTCCGCTGAACACGTGGCACATAGATTTCATCCAAGAATGATCACAGTGTAGTCATTATGAAAGAGTAGAAAACGAAGACTTGGTGGTAAAGGAATGTTTATTTGCAAATAGGTATCTATATAGCCACATTATGTAAACCTTATCTTCAACGCACTATTTGCTCAGATCTTCGTGTTGTGATACCTCTGGAATTTATATTTTGCTTCTTTGTGTTCTTTTCACGTTTCCCGTGTATCTCGACAGCGCTGTATCATTCTCCTTATCTGACATCAAATGCATCTCCCTGCTATTTGATGATTTTATGCCGATGAACATCTCTTTATATACTAGTGGTAAAGCTTATCAGTAGCACTCGCCACAATTACATCTTTATTATCAATCTTTAATAACACATAATTATAGCAAGACAATTTACTTTACTTACTTGAGCTGCTTCAACAAAATACGCTATCATATCTCTTATGTTTCGTTCAAACTCTTTGACAACATCTTCAATCTGCTCTGAGATGACCATTTCATTTGCCATCAGTTGGTCCCATAAGTCATCAACTTTTTTTCGATATTCTGTCAAAATTTCCTCAATAAGTTGCGTCTGTATTTCTGGTGTTTCTTCGAGTTTATTCAACGCCTATTAACAAGGAAGTATCATTTGTTATAATTGTTTACTTTTCTATGCCGTATAATAAGTACTCGTTAGAGAGAGAGATAAATTTTCATGGAAGTATGTGTAGTTGCATGGAATAAGCTTACGTTTTCAAGTATTGATTGCAGGGAATTGATTAGTTTCAGGTTAGATTATGAACTAACATCAGTTACAGAACTACTAAGAGCCAGAGAGTACTGGACAGCTATCCACTTTTCAATGGTTTGCTGACTAATATCACTACATGAGCTAACTAGAATAAACTTACCTGCCTCTTTATTACACTTTTATCAAGGTTATGCTTTTCAGATGAAAGAGATAAATAAACTTTGTCATCCAAGAATAAAATGTTTCATATTCATTTTTTACAGTTGAAGACGATAAATTTTAACTGAAGCAAAGTTGATAAACAAGTAACATTTAGTTGATTATAACTTGTAGGGTAACATTTATTAAATATTATTAATTTAAAAAGAAGACGTTCAGTGGAGAGACTCTTTTCGGTGAATTCATTCACATAGCTATACAATCGCATTTATATACAATTATTTTTGTGCGTGTATGTACATGAGGTTTGTCAAGTTTAGAAAATTAATTTGGTAATACAAGAATGATCTAATATAGAAACAAGGTAAATTAGACAGCAAATAAAGTAAGATTGAGTTAATAAGTCAGATGACGTAATATAATTGACTAAAATGTTTCATCTTAGTTCGGGATAGCAACATAGGTAATTATAGGTAGAGACTTTTAGAGGTGGTGTAGAGAATAACGCCGTTTAAATTAGGATTAAAACTGAGCAAATAAATTGCATGACGTCACAAAAATGACTAGAAATTGAGCGTTGGTCAAGTCAGTAACAGTGGTAATGAGGTGTAGAAATTAAATCGGGTGGGGGTAGAGAACAAGAAAGTTGAAAGAGACAGGAAGAAATAAAATTTACATGTCGGGTATTAAGATAGATTACCTATATTGCAAGTATGGCGATTGAACGAACTTCTTCTGTATGCAGAGTTCAGGGCTTAGCAAGTGAATTGCCATTGCTTCTGCCGTTTGAAGAAGTCTAATTCGTACACTTTCAAGGAGACTGCTTCGGATTCTTCACTTTGTTTGGAGTGTAGCTTGGTGTCCGGAATCTATCAGATGTTCTTAGATAGAGCTGCGGGGTCATCGATTTTCTCCTTTGTACTATTCCTGCCTTGGGTTCCAAGTGGAATACAAGGCTTCAACAACACATCTCCATTTCGTTCTGTTCTCTGCAGTTCTCTTCAGCCGGCCCCATGATTAGCATAAGCTTTCGTTTCCTTCTTACACGACCTCCATGTCACCGTCTGGCACATATCCGACTTGTTTTTCCCCACATGGGTTACATTTAAGAGCCTGATGTGCACTGTCTCATGAATTTGTGTCTAATCCATCTGCGTTTTCTTCGGAATATCTGTTAAGCAATAGGTTCTTGGTTGGTTCGTTCCCAGAGTTTCTTGCTGCTAATTCTTTCTATTAATCTAATGTTCAGTATGTAGCGACGGAAGCTGTTGATAAAAGTTTGCATCTGGCTGTTAGAAATGCTTTCCATGACGAGTTTACTAAGTTTCCGACCCATATAGAAGAACTGATCTGAAACTAGTGTAGAAAATCTGGATTTTGGTTCTTCATGCTACGAAGTAAAGAAGATTTACAAATTGATTTCAGAGTATTGAAGGTGTCCCTTCCCTTTCCGATTCTGGCTTTGATATCCTCATCTGTTTAGCTTGCCAGTAGTTGAAATGATGCTGAATAGTTAAAAGAAGGGAGCGAACTGTTTCACATTACTCCTACTGATAGCAACTGATATCTGTTATCATTCGTTGGTTGATTATTTCAATCACCACCGTCTTGTCTTTCCTGCTCCTTCTCCAAGTTTGTTGGTTTTAGCCTATATATCGTCGAGTTTGTGTGACAGTGGAAATAGATCATCCGCGAAATATAGATCTTCTAGAGTTTTCTTACCGGTCCAGCATGTTCATATCTTCCCGCTCCTCACGCACGGTATGCCACATAATTCAGTCCACTACAATTGGGAATGTCATCAGTGACAGCAGACAGACAGACTTGCCTTATTCTTGTATTCACTTCAAAAACATCTCTCAGTTTTCCGTTATTGACCACTTGACACGTCGCACTGTCATATAGCTGCTGAGTGAGGCTGATAAATATTATATGAGCTTCTTGAAAAAAATTTAATGGTTCTCACTCATCTACTCTTTTCACTATTGAATACGAATCGAATTCCGCAATTCACTTCTTAGATGTGATATCAGAGGATGGCACGTTAAAAAGGTCGGTTTATCGAAAGACAACATTTACACGGCAGTACACTGACTTCAACAGTTGGTTACCCCTAAGCAAGAAGAGAAATCGTATCCGTTCTCTGTGCTCCAGAATTTGGAAAATTTGCTCCATAGGTATAGTCGACATGGAAGTAGAAAACCTTCGCAAAACTGTCTTAAATAATGGATATCCTAGAAGGTTAATCGACAGAAACATCAAGAAAGAAACCGTCCCCAGCTAAATCATAGTGCCAAAGAAGACACTGTTTATGAATTTGGTGTTCAAAAGGTGACACCATTTCTGAAGTAATTAAAAGTCGTTTATCTAAATGTATTAAAAACGGTGTTTTATTATTCGGCTGACTTACATTTAGTATTTCCCAGCCGAAAAATAATTCGATAATGCGTCAAAGATAAACTATCGCTTTTAACCACTTCTATGTGCATATAATCATTCACGTGGGGCTGATTATATTGGACGTTGTAAGCATGTCCTGCGTAAACACGAAGCTGAACACTACCCGGTTTTGTTAATGAAAAGTGAGCATAGGACGACGAAGTCTTCCATCTGTGAACACCTTCTGGTTTCAGGTCATTCAGCCCCACGTGATTTATCCTTCAAAGTTATCTACAGTACCAAATCCAATCACTCCGAAAGCTTACGTTTTCTCCACTTTTGCATAGCCGAAGGTCTAGTTATGCATGGACAGAAACCTGAATTAAGTGTTCAAAGATGTTTTGTTAGACCCATTTCTTTACCTTGGTCATAATAATGTTCTTTCCATTTTATTCTATTTTGCCACTTAAATTCATTCTGCTTCACTTCATCTTGGCCGTTTTTATTGTTATCACGATCGTACTATTAATTTTTTTAGACAACACCTGACCTACAATTTTAAAATCTGAACACCAATTGACATATTTATTGATTTCTAAAAATTTTTGTGGTTCATCTACTCTAGCTCTACCCCCTTAGTACCTCATTGTAATCATCTTTACTTTTATCATATGTATATTGGCTGAGTAATATCTAGTGCCACTTAATGCCTTTTTGCGTAATATAAGTACGACTATACAGCTTGAACATGAAGTCGCTGAAAAAAATATATTTCTCCTCCGAAGAAAAACTGTTTTTCCTTATAAATATTACGCAATAAAAATCACAATTCCTTAATTCATGTCTTACTATATATAATATTATTGAATATTGTGATCAAATCTGTAAACATTATCGTGGGGTAAAAAAAGCAGAGTGATAAAAGGAATGCAGTTCAAAATTCATTTACCTTAGATTACCCAGATTATGCTAAAGTGATGAAGTCAGCAGGAACCCCTAGTGATATTTACTGAAGTTCAGCATGTCTACTTGGTGGTAAAGTTACCAAAAACTTACCAGACAAAATAAACTTCAGGCTTTGAGAAAACGCAGGCACTCTCAGGAATGCATCAGTCAACATGCAAATGGAAGTCTGGATTTCATGCTTAAAGAGATATTTACTTGTAACATGTTGAATATATACTATGCTTAAAATTCAGTCATATAACTAATATCTCATTTCTATACGGCAATACTAAACATCTGTCTGGTCACATATTATTATGATAGTTGGTGGAGTCAATCTAGCTTTCTTTCTTCTCAGGTTTCACTGAAATTTGTCAGCCAAATGCTTTCTTGAAATTCCTAACACACTTAATTCGTGTAAACCTGAACAGAGATGAATGAACAGGTCTTGTTGTCAAAACTGTCCAGACAAACCTCGACAAACCCCACATAGGGGATGCATATATATATACATATATATATACAAGTATATTGATCCTCTTATACACGTAAAATATACAGAGCTCATGAAAACCTTTAGACAACAACATTACCTCCAGTTTTTTGGCCAATGACAGTAGTCTATTTTCTTTGTGTAGATTTATCTGTAAAATGTCATAAACTTGCCTACCCACTTCATTAGAGCCATAGAATTATAAAGCGTGCTACTGTTGGCTGCCAGCCTCTTTTCAATCTGTCAAACCATACATTACCTATAATATTTGGGGCAGCTACAGTGAGTATATACCCCTTAGCAGTTTGTCTCTCTACTTTCCTCTTAAACTACTCTTATATACATGATGACAAATAGTCTGAATTTTATCCAATACCTAATTTCCATATGAAAAATGTTAGTTGTCTAGTTGTCTCTTTTTTGTCGTATAGTCGCCATTATGACAAAAGAGACACCAGTTCTCATCTTTGTTTTATTGTTGCATAATGGTAAAAAGAAAGACAGTGAGACAACTTTCGTGTATGACATTGATTTTCTGGAAAGAAAGCAATTATTCTCCTTATAAACATTATCTAATTTTGCTTCCTTACATCCTTCCTCCTCTAATAAACAAAGTATTGCTCAAGACATTGAGTGGTGAAGCTGTTTAAGTAGGATATTTCGGCTATTAATGCCTGTGGTTTGTTCGATTACAATCTTTTTTATTTTCTGTTGAAAACATATTTAAGATGGTATCTTGACCGAGAAATACATAAAGACAGTCAGCGTTTTCGTATTATTTAACATCCTGATACGTTGCAACCAACATAAACTAGTTTGGTGAATATTATGGAAGTATAAAGGCTTTGCAGATAGCAAACAGAATAGTAAAGTCATCTAGCATGAATTTCTTATTTTCCGAATGAAAACTTATATGTAGATTATATGCCGAGTTAAGACAAAAAAGTGACTCATCGGACTTAGTGGTAACATCCAATTCAAGAGAGTTACTAGATAGAAATACTAAAAATCAGATGAGGAGAAATTCCGGAATACAGGCATTATTTATTGCACCATTTTCCACTTCATTATAATATGCTGTTTGAATTAGTACTAGAACTCCTATAAAATAATTGTTCACAGGTAACATACGAAAGGTTGGCTTTTTTGGCTAGGAACCGTGAAACAGTTAAACTTAGTGGCAAGAATCTTATAATAAAGCCTTTGCAAAGTAACCGCTTAGCCACCAGTTTACATATATGCCCTACTTTTCTCCGGGTAGCGAATATTCTACACATTATTTTACCGCGTACACTGATTGAACTTTATCTTCCGACTGCTTCCAACTTTGATTCTTTTGACTTCTCTTTCATCATTTAATTTGAACAGACAATTCCTCTTTGCTGGTTTACGGATCTCTCCTCGCCTCAAATTTTTGCAAGCGATAAATATTTTCTAAAACGTTATCTTGTGTATCGCATAAAGCTGCATAGACTATCATTGATTGAATCAGTCTATTTGTGAGCTTACCGTTTCTGAGTATTATAATGGTAATGAAACATAACACGCAACAGATACGTTCATGCCTACCTGGAAAAGAAATGGTTTTTTATCCAAACTGTGTTATTATTTATTTGGACAATGAAATGCAATCCACCACTAACAAAGTTATATCAACAAAGGAGTAAAATACATTGTTCAATATAAATAAACAACTGATTAGACATTTCAAACAAAAACATATGAACAGTTTACACAAGCTCACTTGATGTTTATAATCACTGAATTGTCGAGCTAATCGTATACCTTCAGCACGATCTGCATCTTTAACTTCTTCGATAACCTCCCTTAATGACTGTTCTTCTTGAGTACGTTTCTGGTATTCTTCTAGTCCATGGGTGAACAGTGAACGGCACGAATCCGATAGTCTGTCTCTGTATGTGTTTTACAAAATTTTTCCGAAGTTAAGTTATCCATAGCATAATTCAAGAACTCTGAAGCATTTGAATTTCGTCGCAAGTTATTTAAGCACTTACTTGATTAATATGAATGATGTTATTGTAAGCATGCGTTTTGTCTACTCTCCCACCAGTAACAATTACTAACAAATCATTTACAAACTACTTGGATATAATTCCTATTATTCTTGACTACATTGAGTATTGCTATTGAATAACACAGACCAGAATTATAGAGAGGAAATAGATTGTTCCAAAGTTATATTTATACCTTCCCAACGAAACTTAAGGTAAACACGTCTTACTCTAGACTGACTCCTAATGTGTAACGTAATACTGGCGTAGTTGTGTTTTCTGAGCTAAGTGGTTTATTTACGAAGCTTTCATTGTTTTTCACGACAGTGTCTTCAGAGTAGACTATAAAGTAATGTAATTATTCTAGGTCTTCTTAGTTTTCCATTGGTGTGGAGAAGACGTTCGTTTAGGCGGAGGCATAGACCACGCTTTCCCTGTTATTCTCACCAAGTCAGGCATAAGAGTTAGTTAAGGCATTTCGGTTACAAATATATATATATATATGTCACTCAACGGTTTCCCGAGCGCGTCTCCAATCTGTCTCCACTTTCTTTGGCATATTTTTTGGGTAATAGGTTCTTTTTTAGTTTGTTCCTAGAGTTCCTTGTCTCCAATTTTTTCTGTCCATTCAGATTTTCAGCATCTAGCCAACGAAGGCAGATGCTGATTAAAGTCTGCAAAAGCCTAATTCAGATTCGCAGTTTACAAATTAATTTACAATTTACACAGCTAACAAGTCAGATTTCACCACAGTTTCTTTTGGAAATCAAAATTATTCTAACCACAATACATGATCTGCTTGATGATATTTCACTAATGGTAATCAAAATATCAAGCATAAATACATAAAACTATATACTACTGGCTGATGTAAGTGGTATCGGTCGGTCGGTCGGTTTTCGACATTGAACTTTGCACCGATGTGCGGCAGTTCAAGTCGCCACACTCCATGTAGCACACATAGCAAGAGAAGAAAGTAGAAGAAATGCATAATATAGGCACTAAACAGAGGTGTGAGACAAAGGTATAGTAATAACGAAGAACAAAACAGTTTCATGGGAAATCATAAGTCACAAGGAGTGGATGCATCTGCACAAGCCATTGAGAACGATTTTGAGCCATGTCACCAATTGTTTCCAACCATTGGTTTTACCGTCCCGAGGACCCCAACCAGGAAGTCTACACCTTCCTACTTGGCTTAGACTAACTGTTGTACATTTCATTGACTGGTGCTATGTTTTGGTTTGACCGCTGCTAACTCTTTTCCAGCCTGGCCCTATATCAGCTGACATTGACCGTCGAGGAAGGCGATGACTAAGCATACGTAACACATATCCTAACCATCTCAGTCGATGTAATTTCACAGTCTCGTCTATTGATTTCCCCGCCTTACCTAGCACTCGATGTAAGTGGTATACAACCACCACACATAGCATTCGGTTAGTAGTATACAGATTGTCTGCAGAAGCCCAATTTTTTTGACCTATCAAGTCTCTGAGCCACACAGAAACAATGCTTTGAGATTATTATGTTAAAACTCCGGATCGTATAGCTTACCCTGAGTGTAGTAGACTTCCACACTGATTTCAGGGTAATGAAGGTCTGTCTCGTTTCTTCAATCCCGCTTCTGACATCCTCCTCTATACCATCTGTAGTTGAGATAATGCCATCTAGATAAGTCGGAATTTTAACAGTGCATATTATGTTTAACGATCTGATAAAGATAAATCCAGAAACAGGCCTTAAAATCCCAGTATTCATGAGTGGAGATTGCATGTAACCGTGTGTAAACTCAGATAACTTCACCCGTGGTGTTTTCACGGATCTTAGTCTAGATATCTGTTCTTGGATAGCAGCTCGCTAGTTCGAGTCATATTCCGCCGAAAACGGCAACCACACATTATTATTAACAGGATGAACGTAACAAATGTTTCTCACTACTAGATGAATTGGTATGCCCGTGACTGCTAAGCTGCACGCCGAAATCAAACACTGAAACAGCGCGTGCATCTGCTGACAGTACATGGATAACACTTTTCTTAGGAAAACTTTCATCGTCTTATTATTATGTGGTTTAAAATAGATTTTATTGGTACATCTGTTTGCTATCGTAACTTTGGTGAATGCAGTCCAGAAACGAAGTCGCCTATCAGTAAACTCAGAAAAAAAAGTAGTTTTCTACATACTAGATCACTGAAGTATAGGTTTAGATGCAAGAACACTCTATTAAAAAACAATATTTATCAATAGTAAGTGTAAATAAAAAAAAATTATATTAATCTTTCTCGCTTATGAAAAGGATATTGATCTAATACTTCTGCAACTAGTGGTAGGCTAACAAATTTCTGTCCATCTGGATCTGCTTCCATAATTATTTCAAACAATCTGTCGCCTTCTAAGTCATCAATAAATGCAGCAGCATATACTTTTCTGTCCTCCATTTTCTTATCCAACTCATCTTGTTTAGCCTTTTGTTCTTTTTCTTTCTCGCGCAATTGATCCACAGTCAACTGGTATTTAAGATATGCTTCTTCGAACTAAAAGATTTTACAGATAAAAAGAAGCATTACAAACTTTTAAAAGTGAACCAACTTTAAACCTTTTACAGTTTAAAAATCATTCAGTTATGTAGATATCAAGATTAATCCTGGAAGAGTTCAGTATGTCCGTCAGTGACGCTATTCTACATGTAGGATTTCAGTGAAGAAAACGACTAAAATTCAGAACTTTTTGGAGAATGAAACTTATACATTTATGTTATGCATAAATAATGAAAACATAAAGTGTACACATTTTTCCATTATAGGTAAGATTTTATTTTGATAAAGTCACACAGTGTTATACAGTAATATTAACTGGTGACGTTGCGAGCACAAACTATTGCTCATAATCATACCGACTTGATATGCAGTTATACTCTACCACAGTGTCCAAGTTTTACACTTACATCAATTGTACACATTTTTCTCTAGTGAAGCAGTTTCTATCAGATAGAAAAATATAGCGGTTTTGCGAAAACATTTTCAATAATCAATATTCGATTTGTTTATCATTAATACAGAAAGGTTTTTCGTTTCTATTGCATGAGACTTGTCGTGTGATCTAGTTTCATATAAATTCGGAAATCTTAATCACCTTCTACCTTTAATTTAATGCAATTATGAAAAGGTATGACTTATACGAATCGTGTTATTTATTAACGTTGCACAATTTCAGTGAATAACCCCCCCCACACACACACACACATAACTAGCACCAAATGTCTATACGAAGCAGAATAAGTTCATGGATAATAAGATAAAATAAACCGGCAAAACTGAAATGAAAACTAAAGTAATGGCTAAAATCAGTTAAATGAAAAGAATGGATTCGTCAGCAGTTGTAGTAAGAAGAATGCAGTCTGAATTCCTGTACCTCGAGGTGCAGGTATAAGTCACACAGACACAGAACCACACTTCCTCGTTACTTTACGCGGCACAGTGTGTGGTTTACCTATTAGGTTACTCCAATATCCCTTTCTCACAGGTATAGTCGACAATTTCGCTTGAATAATAGCCCCTCTTATGGCAGTAGCAACTTTTTTTGCACATTTCACACCAAGCCCGACATGGCAATTGTGATCACCCATTGCAACAATCGCCTTGAATCGAGTTCGCTGACCGCCGCAAATTTGTTTCTGAACAGGCATAATTTTCAACACTTCATCTTTGAGGTTTTTGGTCCCTAAGAGTGTGTCTATGATCTCACACTCTTTGATAGGAAGACTGAACATGTATATTTCCTCCAATGTTGTTATCTTTTCATCGTACACCAGTCGGCCTAGTTGAGTTACAGGCTTCCATTCTTTAGCGACAACTCCAAGGCCTCGACCTCTTCCGCGACCACGTCCTCGATCGCGCCCTCTTCCTCTAGCTCCAAAAGCACCTCGAAATCCACCTCGACCACCTCCTGCTAATTCCATAATTAGCTTAAGGGAACCACTCTAAGAACTAGCAGCTAACGGTTGAAGTCTAGAAATATTTTCCTACATCTTATTTTAGTAGATCGAATAGAATATAAACAATTATTTGTTTCAACGATATAATTTTCATAGTAGTGAAGATTGTATATTCGTCATCAGCATTGAAAGGATCAATCAAGTCATTCTAGTTTCATAAACCAACCAGGTAAGTATCAACTGAGGTTGATACTTATCCTTGATTTATATTGGAAACCAACAGGAAAATCATAAAAATGCTTAGAAATTCAAGAAGAAACTAGTGTCTTTTGTCGTGTAAGGAGGTTACAAAGAAAATTCCTGGATAGTGAGAATTGTTGAAACCGACAACTTAACACATCAGCGTTAGTTTTACTGACTTACCGCATAATATACTTAAATGCCGATAGTTTAATGTAGCAATGATTATGTGATTCAGGGATACCTTTTTATAAATATCAACTGAACACTGTAATATAGGGTCATGTATGGAGAAGATAAGGTATTTTTCACGAGTATAATTGACCTTTTGACACATAGTTATGCTGAATGATTACTTGAAATATAAGATATCTAACCCGGTCTATAGAGTATAATTACTCAGAATAACAAATGTACCGCATAGCAAAACTAATAAGCAGTACAGTGCTCTAGTGGATAAGTATCCACATATTGGTAGGGTTCATTGTAGTGCCACCAAACAAAACTCCACTTGGTTTTTATGCTGTTTGATTATTGAAAATGATTGAATTGTGTGACATTTTGAAAAAATCCATTGTATCATTTGCCAACTACAGTGTGATAAACGGCGGTTGTGCCCAATGGCTTGTCAAGTATTCACACATTACAGGATGAAATCTTCAATAGAGAATCATTTTTATCCCAATAGGATGGGAAATAATTGATAGAAGCAGATAGAAGCTTTGGTAACTTGGTTTTACATTCACTTACTGAACTATGCTTCATAATAAAACTGACCACAGGTTATATAACATCCCTTTCGTCTTTTACTTCTTTTTTTTCTTGAATTCTCATACTATGTGAAACTATTATTTACTAGAAATGAGCTAGATATCAGCCAAGTTAATCAGTATAGTTAACGAAAAGAAAAAATAGCAAAAGATGTTGTTGATGTGAAGGTAATGAATGAATGCAACATTGTACATTAATAAGTGAATTTATAGCGAGCAAACAAACAAGATTTAGAAAAAAACAACATTTGCCAAGTATTTACTATTTTTGAACCCTAACGGTTGTAAAAAACATCGAATAAAACTTCCACTTCACAAATAATTGAGTGATCGAAAACCACTTCATTGCATTATATTCACGCTTAAGGTAATAAAAATATGAAGAGATCAGTGCATAAAGCCTTCAGTTTTGTTACTTCCACTGATGTACATATGTCGTAGTGATAGTATCCTATGAACAACTGAAAAGAGAAAAACAAACCCACTTCAGAGCTGATTTCCTGAACTTTTGATGGGAAGCTACAACTGAATAAGTTGACGAGGAAATTTGGCATATGGATGAAACTAAGTGAAACAAAACAGTCTTTAAGCAACTGACCGCTCCCCATAGGATGCGTGTTGATGTAGTAGTGATGAGCATTTGGTTGATATTATGTAGTATTATAAGTGCTGAATTATGAGGTTTCCTGAAAAACGGCAAAATACTGATTGATCATCTCGAGGTTTCCCATAGCTTTCTGTTTGATTTCAGTCAGTAACTAACAATTCTGAAATATGTTGGGTTGTTTAATTTTCTTCTAGATACTTAAGACTACCGAATGATTTATAATATTAGTCGGTAAAACTTCATCAGCGCTATCCCTTTCACTCAACTCTACCTCTATAAAGTACAAACCAGTATACGGATGAAACTCATAAAAGTCACAATGTTAATCAGTTGATCATATTAGTTGAAAAATATCCCTTTTGAAAAGCCAACGTTCATAGATGAATTTTACACAGTTTAACCTGGGGCTAAATAAGTGGACAAGTAATGACTTAAATGGGTAAGTAGTCAATTTTTCTGACTTCAGTGCATAAGAAAACATGTTTGAATACATTTGAAAATTTTTTCTTATGTTTACACCTATTTGGATAATCTGCGCCAGCCGAAAAGATCTGGCTTCGAATGCATTTGTAATTTCAAAAGTTTGACGTCATGAGATTTGTAGTGTCATCTAACATTCCGAGAAATTTCCTAGCCTTGTTGATAAACTTCAGTTAACAATTAGGGCTTGATATTTGAGTCTGCTAAACTCTAGCAGCTAGGTCATATGTATGCGATTATATTTATACATATATATATTTACATATATATATATATATATATTTAATCGACCACCACTTACAACGCGCCCAACAACGGAGACAGAGCTACCAGTGAACACCAATCCCCTGACGAAATCAGAAGTCCTGAAGGCAATCAAGATGCTAAAAACTGGAAAAGCAGCAGGACCAGATGAAATCCCAGCAGACGCATTGAAAATGGACCCAGAAACAACAGCGGACTTGAAGCCACCACTACTGGAGAAAGTGTGGAAAGAAGGCAAAGTACCCGAGGATTGGAAAACTACTTATTCCAACTGCCAAAGAAAGGAGACTTAAGTCAATGCAAGAACTGCCACGGATATATGCTCCTGTCCATCCCAAGCAAAATACTAAGCCGCATCATCCTGGAGAGAATCAAACACACCCACCTGGGTGAAAACCTTCGACCAGAACAGGCTGGATTCAGGGGAAACAAGTCATGTATTGATCAAATCGCTACACTACGGATCATCACTGAACAGACCTTGGAATGGCAGTCATCCCCTATCTCAACTTCATCGACTTTGAAAAGGCCTTTGACAACGTCGATCGAGAGGTGATTTGGCAACTACTTTGCTACTACGGTGTGCCACAGACAATTATACATCTCATCCAACAGTTGTACAACAACGCTGCATTCCAAGTAATCCACAACGGGAAACTTACAGAATCTTTCGAAGTAAAGACAGGATAAGACAAGGCTGCCTACTATCGCCAATGATTTTCCTGATTGCAGTAGACTGGATGATGCGACAAACAGTGGGTAATGAGGAAACAGGCATAAAATGGACTCACACAAAAAACTTGGGGGATCTGGACTTCGCCGATGATGTATGTCTGATTCCCCACAAACTGGAAGATATGCAAGCGAAAAGCAACAAGTTGGCAGAAGAAGCATCAAAGATAGGAAGGAGTTCAGGTGAACATAGAGAAAACAGAGGTGATGAAGATTCCTGGGTAACACCATTAGCAACAACATCAACAACAGACAACAATCAGCATAAATGGGAGGAACCTGAAAGAAACAACCTCCTTTACCTACACACCCACCTGGGAAGCATCGTTTCAACTACAGGCGGGCGGAACTGACGAGGATATCAAAGCAAGAATCGAGAAAGCAAGACAAGCTTTCACTACTCTCAAGTCTGTGTGGAGGTCAACAGCACTGCTCAGCATGGAAAATAAGATCCGGATTTTCAACTCCAATGTGAAGTCAGTGCTACTCAACATACGGATCAGAGACTTGCACTGCGCGTCATAAAGAGAATCTCAAACAAACTACAGACCATCACCAACAGCTGTCTTCGCTCAATACTCAAGATCAGACAGCCAGCCAGAAAACATCAGCAACAGATTGGGATCTCTGGGAGCGAACCAAACAGGAACCGATTGTGAAACAAATAGGCAGGAAGAAATGGAGATGGATTGGCCATACTCTTAGGAAACCATCAAGTGACATCACTAGACAATCCATCGCTCGAGTGGAACCCGAAAGAGAAGCGGCGAGTTGGTCGTCAGTGCAAGGGTGACTTGGAGGAGGTCATGTGAAGAGGAGATGAAAACGTGTGGGCAGACATGGAGCCAGGTGAACATTCTAGCAGAGAACCGAACGCAACAGAGACGCACGGCTGAAGCCCTATGTTCCTCTAGGAATTAAAGGATACAATAACAATATACTAAAGTGATTGATTACTCACCACAGTTTGTGAAATTTTCTTGTAATCTAGGTATTGTAATTGTGGTACAAATGCACATGTGTAGTGTATGTAGGATTGATTATTTGTCAGTGGATTTCCACTTAAATTGACAGATTCCAGTTTGTCAAACTTTCTTAAATACATCACCTTTAATGCAATAATGATTATTATTTTTTTGTTTTCATTCGTCATGTATACAAAAGAGAAACAATAGAGAACAACAAATAGAGGTGAATCGAAAGTTTCACTTTCGCTTTCTGTCAACTCATCTTTTAATTTTTCAGCAAGGCAACTAAAAAGTGAAAACCGAAAGAACGGATGATAATATGAATAAAAAACAAACAGAACGAAAAACTAAGTAACCTAATGATGAATTGAGAAGGTAAACAAACAGAAATACTGAAATCTACATTCTGTAATTCAGCGATTTCATTATTTCCAAGTGATAGATATTTTAAATTTTTCATCTCATCCAATCCCTCCATCAGGCTGATTTGATTGTTGAACAGACTTAAATCTTCAATTTTTGTTAGTTTGTGTAAGTTCTCAATTTTTGAAATTCGATTGAAAGATAAGTCTGAATGTTTTGAGGCGTAATTACAAAGCAGAGGAATGCAGCAAGATAAATAATAGAACAGAAGAAAGAAAAAAATAAAGAAATACAGGTGAGTAGTCAAAGGAAATTATGCAATTCGTATACACCTCTTTACTGATCGCTAGAGCTTTAAGTGATTTGTATATATTGTTGTGTTTACGGTTTCTCAGGTTTAAGTCGTTAACACCATTGGTTTTTTTTTCGAGGTATATGTCAGTGATATTTGAACAGATGTTAGGGATTTTCGAAACTAATCACTGAGATTTTAAAGACTGTTTTCAGTTCTTAAAATGCTGTATGGCTACTTTACTTCGGAATTTGTTTTGCTTTTTTAAACGTACTTCAAAGAGCTTTCCCGTTATGTTGGCAAGCCTTTATTGTCATACAATGTTGCTTAGTCTATTGCCTTGTGTGATTGTAACAGAGAAAATAGTCGAGGAAAGTTGGTTTAATGAAACAATCAGAAATTCTTCATTTAAAACCACTAGTTTTACGGCAGACAGTTCCCAGTTATATATGCTTAGAAGTGAAGAAAGTCAACAATAATAAGTCAAAGACTTAATTTCTGTAATTTCAGGTGGAAGTAAAGCTTTATACACCTGGCCAATCATTCATTAAATAGTAGGTATCCTTTCTTGCTTTTATTTCCCTGTTGCAATATGACCATATCATCTCAGTTGTTTCTGTACTTAAGTGACATGCGTAGATATAATTTAGTAAAAGACATTTCACTGAAGAAAATTTTCTCTATTGGAGGGGTCAGTGAGTTGTCCTAAGCTTTTGTTCTCAGATTTTTATAGTTTTTTTTCAAGTATTGGTGTTGTAGGGATATTTGTTTGATTGGCTGGAGGATTTCATCATGAGCCATTGGAAAACTTCCTGGGAGTATTGGTCAGCTGTTTCGTCCTAGTCTGGGACTCTTCATCAAGACGCATCCACCAACCTCGAACCCAGGACCTTCTGGCTACAGGGAAAGCTAGTAGACCATTAAGCCACTGCGACCCGATCCAATGGCCCATGAGTTTTATGTCATGAATTGACAGAAGTTAGAATTTTTGGGCCGTTGGATTGGGTCACAGTGGCCTAATGGTCTACGAGCTTGCCTTGTAGCCAGAAGGTCCTGGGTTCGAGGTTGGTGGATGCGTCTTGATGAAGAGTCCCAGACTAGGACGAAATAACTGTCCAATACTCCCAGGTAGTTTTCCAATGGCTCTGGAACTGATGTCAGCTCATGATGAAATCCTCCAACCAATCAAACGGGTTTTTTTTATTAGATAACAGTCATCATTCAAGTGTGGTGGTTCTACAACTTCAATGTTTTGAGCAATCGGAAATTCAAACATTTCAAAGTACTAAGTAGGCTGAAAACTTATTAATTTGCACCGTTGTTCACAAACTGATGTATCATAGTTTGCATCAATTCAACTTACGTAGAAACGTGATGTAGTGTTTCAGTTTGTGAGATATACAATTAAATCAGTATCTAATTCTATTCACATTCGATTTCTCCTACCGAATTTATAATACCATTACTAAAAATCCTGTTGAAATAAAATTCCACTACCGTAATAGGGATCACTTTACAGTACCATTTTAAAGAATCCCGTCCATCAGTTAACCAAATTGATATGCAATGAAAGAGGTTTCATGATTCTTCTGAACCTTATACATCCATTTTGAATAAGGAACTACAGATGGATGATAGGCTTTGGCGATAGGCTGAAATAAGCTAGTAAAGCAAAGGAATTCTATAATAATATGATGACAGATTTGTCCTAGTTTCACGATAGTCAGTTTACGAGGAAAACCTGTTACCATTCAACTCAGCGGTCTGTTATTTTCACTTTCTGCCGCAAACGTAACAGCTAAATATATTTTATTGCAACAGCCCAGCACAGATAATCCAGTTTAAATAGCACGTCAGTAAAACAAGTCCGTGTCAGATTTATCTGTTTCATACCTGTTCGACATTTCAACTGCCTTGAACAAGTTAGTTAATAAAAGCACCAAAATGACAGTTAAATTAATCGTAATAATTAATGTACTTAGTAGACGAGGTTTTTGTTGTATATTAGTACCATAGAATAGTAATACAGGAATGTCACATTCCGTTATTCGCATCACCTTCTGTCTTTTCATTTCATGGTATTTTACAACTCCCATCGATTTTACAGTAGTTCCTTTATCCCCTCCTCTTATTACCTCTTCCCTGATACATGAATATCAGATGTGACAGTCTGGGTCACTGTGCTGTAATGATGAGCCACGTGTTGAAAGTATTTAGCCTTCTGTTTGTCTGCCATGATAACTTATATTAAGAAGTATTATGACATTTAAAATTAACCCTGATGATATCCTGACTCCCATCTGAGAATTCCCTGATTTATTTATCATAAAACACACAATAAAGGCATCAAGCTTTGAATATATTAAGTCAAATATAAAGGAGTTGTAAAACTAATCAACTTTCGCTTACAGTAATTAAATTGGTACTGGACACTTTAGAAAATTTTCGTTAAACTGATAACTTTTTATTCCAGTCCAACTAATTATATCTATAAGCCATGTGTACTGGCTTGAAACATCTATTTCACACGGTCTAAGTATTCTTATATTTGCATTAATGTGTTATATCAAGTTCCTGTCTATTGGTTACATGGGAAAATGTGGAAAAACTATTCAAAAACTCAATTTAGTGGGAATAATTTCTTATAGAACAGAAGTAACTACTCGTCAATACCTTATCAACTTTGTTTCACACCATACTGTAAAACAGAAACTGTCATTACTACACGTAAAAATACCGACTAGTAAATAACATCATTTCTTTTCCGTAGTAAATTTAAAACAAGCGGCAATGGCGGAAAAAGCAGTACTTTAACTTCATTAGGTCTCTTCAGCTGAACGCTCTGCAAACATGATTATTTGTACCAGTTTTTAAAGTTAGTATACACACACAAAGACATGGACATGGTGACAACAAATATGCATTGATTTCAACGACCATAATCCATATCTGCAAAGTGGGACCATCCTGACTATTGGAAGATACACTGACATCCTATTATATAATGAAATATCTTGTTGGTGTCAGACATGATGAAAGATAAAAACTAAACAAGCCATAAATATCCTTGTGTAAAATTTGCTTAAAAGACTACAGTGAGGCATTTTCATCCTTGAGCAGTAAGTATGGTGGAATCTCAGGTACGCTTAGCAAAGATATTCACCGAAGGATGCTGTTTTGCTAATTGCAGCACACTGATAACTGGCCGTCTAACTCAAGCAAGAGTAATTTCATCTCGGTAGCTCTAATTCAATATTACCATGTCAGACTGAAATTAGCACTGGACTTAATTGAGAACAGTGTTTTTTATATCTGGTAATTTGTTCGTAGATTGCAAACATTCCTACTAAAGGCCTTTTAGTATGCTTCAGCTTTTATCTAGTAAACTGACTGTTTTATTAAATTTCCTAATCAATGGTTGACATTTGAAATATAAATGAATATTTAATTTGATGCAATATACATGACTTCAGTGTCATATGAACTAATGGAGTAGGTGCTAACTCACTTACCTAACCACGTAAGATTCACTAAGCCGTCTAAGTTTTCTATTTTTTCAATAATATTATTATTTAGTTGTAGTTTTGTAAGATTTGTAAACCCATTTAAATTTTCAATTCTCAATATATCTACAGTGAAACAGAAGAATAACAGAATAAACATCTTTAATTAGTACATACCTTCCAACAATAAGACGCATAAATAAAAGTCGCTAGAATCACTTAGATGGTAAATATCCCATATTAAGTTGTAAATATTAATTACTGTCTTCGTGAGATTAAGATATATTCATTATCAAAACATTGAGTGTAAATGACGTATTGTACGTTGGATGTTAACTTACTGTCTGTTAACTTTATTCTATCTATACCGGTGTTTTGAAAATATTTCGTTACCCCTCAGTAAATTTAAAACAAGCAACAACTATGAAAAAAGCAGCATTTAATGAAATCATGAATTTCGGTAGGACTCGTCAAATGAACATACCTCCACAAACACTGTCAATGATACAAATTATTTTAAGGTTAACATACATACAAACACACGGACATTCTGACAACAAATAAGGCAGAAGTTAGAATTCAAGGACCATTGGATCGGGTCCCAGTGGCTCAGTGGTCTACGAGCTCGCCTTGTAACCAGAAGGTCCTGGGTTCGAATCCCGGTGGGCGCGTACTGATGAAGAGTCCCAAACTGGGACGAAACAGCTGTCCATTACTCCCAGGTTTTCCAATGGTTCTCTAACTGATGTCAGGTCATGATGAAATCCTCCATGCAAATAAGTATCCATAAGCGATGGATGAGTAATAATCTGTTAACGTCACTATTTAGTGAATAATATTCATTAATTAAACTACATATTAAAGTGCATATAAAGTGGAGTTACTGTGATAGAATTAATGTCATTATAAACATCTGTATTCGACAATTTTGTAATACAAGGGAACTTCGCGAAAAAATACAAAAATAAATTTAACACATGTAAAACATAAAGGACTAAGCAACAAAATTTCAACATGTCCGATATAATTATTGGATTCAATTGAGATTTTCCCGTCGATTGATTGTATTGAAGTGCTCAGTTTCAGGTCGACATGTCATCTCCTTGTGCAGATGCTTCAACGATGTCTGGTCATGTAACTTGAAATCAATTGGTGGATGGTGACTAGGAGTGGAGTCCGAGATGCGCATTTCGTCTTGCTTGGGACTCACCAACTGGGTGTACTTGCATTCCCCAATGAGTGATGTTGTTCCCAGCGAACGTATTGCCCGTAGTTTCAAACTCCAAAGCTATCCACCAACTGACTGTAAGTTATATGACCAGACATCGCCAAAGCATCTGCACAAGGAGCCGAAGTGTGAACCTGATACTGAGCATTTCGGTCCAATCAATCGACGGGAAAATCTAAATTGAATTATATAATTAGTAAGACCCTCTGCACAAGAGGTGACTCTCGTGGCCCAAATGGTCTATTGGATAACGCCTTGGCGTTTGAAAATACGGGCACTGGGTTCGAGCCTCTGTGGGAACACCATCACCCCTTGGGAAATACAGATACATTCAGTTGATGCATCCCAGATAGGACGAAATGCTCATCCTGGATTCCACTCCTAGTTAGCATCCATCAACTGATGTCTGATCTAAACTGATAAGGGATAGTTTGACCCCTCCTCACCAAGATTAATACTCAGTAATGATTTTGGATTTGCATATATTTTAAGAAGACTAATAGTATCTCAGGTAAAATACTAATGATAATAATGGGAAAAACATTATAAAGAAAAGAGGGAAGAGAGGGAAAATTATAAAGGCAAATATAAAGGTAAAATAACACTATACTATTAAGACATAAAAAGGAGACAGTAGTTACCTTAAATCTACCTTCGTAGATCACGTTCATACATTAAAGTGTAGAAAGAAAACAAAACCATAAAAATGTTTTGATTTTGCTAGAGGAAGACCATTAAGACCAGCTACCTCTCAAATTTATCAGATTACCGTTTTGTGAAATTCAGTCAACTTCTAAAACTAAGTAACACATCTCATTAGAACAACGCGTATGTGCATAACATGGTCTTCCGTGGAGTGTGCAGTTTCTAACTGCCTGTCTGAATGAAATATACCTCACCCCCGCTAATTCACCTGAGCTGTTAGATATTCCAGCATAATTTCAGTAATACAAGTGAAACTCAACAGAAATACTAAGACAGTTATAATAATAATTTGCTTTATTCCAAAACAGTACTTGTGATACAGAATGGAATTCTCAGTATTTTTACTACAGTATTGCATCCAGTTAGTACATTATCAATAAATAGAATTCTACATAGATTAAGGAAATCTCAGTTCGTTATGACAACAACATATTGGCATGTCGGTAGCAAAGCCAAAACTGAACAGTGTTTGAAGGTGTTAGAAAAGTAGGTGCTATCATATTTACTGGCGTAAGCGAGAGAAAGAAACAAAGCAGCACATAACGGAAAAAAGAGAGAGAAAAGGAAAAGAAAGAAAGAAAATGTTGTACCTATAAATGATATTAGTTGGAAAGATGAGGTCCAGTAGTTCTACTGACTATTTAACGAATTATAGGTGTCAGGCCTAATGCTTTCCTTATCGCACAGAACATGAGCTAAGTAGGGTATGGTTGAGTTTTTGTACTTGCTAGTGCCAGCATATAGTTTTCTATATAGGCTTCTGTTTTTGCAAGGGGAGAGTTGTGAGTGAAGAGGGTGGTGCGAGTTAGATAAAATGGATTTGGCCCATTTTTCACATGAGTCCATGTGCCTGTCGACCAGAATATTAACAAGCTGGTTAAGTGGCACGTTGCTTACCCTGCTGACAACCTTTAACATCCTGAGTAATAAGGTATAATCTTTCTTCAGTAGCCCGGGAAAAACTAAGGGGGAACAATAGAGAATAATAGGCAGAATGCGAGAGTTAACGAATTGTAGGAGTAAGGGTTGGATTATACCAGAATGTTTTAACTTCTTGATGTAGAAGGTAAGACGAAATATTTTCTTAGAAATCGCCAAGATATGAGACAACCAGGAAAGATCAGCAGATAGAATGACGCCCAGGTATTTGATTTCCGACTTGGTTTCTATTTCACTGTCATCTATGTTGCACACCTCGTGAGAGCTAACCAGTTTGTTTAGGTCGGATTTATGCCTAAAGGTGAAATTGACTGTTTGGCATTTGGAGGGGTTTAGGGTAAGACCGTTTTTCTTGGACCACTGGCTGATTTCTGACAGAAAGCAATTTAGTTTAGAGCAGTCGCTTTGACATTTGACAGGCAAAGATACAGAAAGATCGTCAACGTATTTGACAAAATTAATGTCATTTGAAGATGGTAAGTCATGTAGAAAGAAAGAAAAGAGAAGTGGGGAGAGTACAGCGCCTTGGGGAACTCCGGCTTCAGTGAGTGCAGCAGAGGATGATTTACCTTTGTATACGGTGTACTGCATTCTGTTTGAGAAGTAGGAATGCCACCAGTCAAAGAGAGCTTATTTAGCAGGAGACATCTAGGAACAGAGTCGAAAGCAGAAGTGAAGTCGAGAAACGTGCAGCGGACGTATTTGGCACCTTTATCTAATGATGAGACGATGTTGTTGTGTAAGACAGCTGCAGCGTCTAATGTACTCCTACCCTGTCTATAGGCAAATTGTTTTGGGTCTTCGAAGTTTTTAAGGGAGGGTTCAAGTTTAAGAAATACTAGTTTTTCCATAAGCTTTAGAAACGGAGAAGTGATGGCAATGGGTCTGAATGAATAAGAAAGATGATAATAAATGATCGGAAAATAAGTACCAACAGAGAGGGGTAGCATTTGGATTGGAACTTTTGTGATCATTTTTAAGCTGTTGCATTGATCGCCACTTATCATTATCCTTTAACACTTAGCTTAGGACGTCCTGTATGACTTCTATGAATATTCCACGATTAGTTCGTTTCCTTTTAATCACTTTTCCAAAGTAAACTGACACTAGTTATGATTTATTTTTCTCCCACTGGAAATAGTACTTTATATGGTCTGAGGTTTATCTGCAAGCTGCCAAATGTGAATGTTAATCACCATATATGAATCAGTTAAACAGTTGAAGTATAAGCCACATAAATCATGTGAATTAGTAATAAAAAGTTCAGATATGATCATTACAATGTCGTAATGCACAATATCAAGCCTAGTTTCATCATTTGAATTATAAAAATGCCTTACTTTCCCCTTCGAATTCTACAAAATATTCTTTGCTGTTAAACATTTTAAAATATTTTTGCAGATATCACTATATTTAAGTTTTGAAGGTACACTGGTAATACAGGAATCATGGAAACATAACTTTTATCTTGAGAAAGATTAAGAACTAATTAAATCTAAGGGCTTAAAAGTTTTTTATCATTAAACCCAACACCATGTTTATCAATACATCATTTCAAACTGAATTTGAACTTAGTTTCAGATTAACGAAGAGCTTCGCCCTTCTAGTTCTATAGAAAAAACAGGCTATGAAAATTGTGGTAGTTCCCGATGAGAGGTCAACGTAAAACTTTGATGAACTCCACATTGTTTTTGTTATTCAGTACACTCTTTGACCAAGAGTTGAAATAATACAAATGTGCATGTTAAATCGCACAAAACTGCTTCCATTTACTAGTTATAAGTAAGCTAAGTAAGACGCATGACGATGTATACTATTGAATGATTGAATAAGTGACTGGATGCCTCTTACATCAGCGTGTAGTGCTTGCTAGCCGCATCGAAGAGATCTAAACACCGGATGGCCATTTCGCCCGTTTGGAAAGGAGCTCAGCAACAACATAGCAGGTTTAACTCAGCTAGACTCAAAGATCCGCTTGAATACTGACTATATTCGACACCCAAAGAAAACTGGTGGAATTTCGTGTCGAAGTGTGTGATTTGGAAATTGCAAATTAGACTCAAGGTCATATTTGTATTCATTAAGGTATACATTTCGTCCACTGCTTGCTCAAATGTCGTATCACTTCGTTAAACATTTCAATGATCTCTTGCTTTAAATGCTAACTTTATATATACTAGATTTTAATAGTAACAAATTACTTTGAAAGTTTAAAGCCAATGATTCCACTGTATTGAACTGAATGCCTTCAACACGAGCAATTTTGCCTGCCTCTTCCTTTGGTCCCTGAGCATAACATGCAGCCTTTAGTAGAAGGTGACTGATGACGGTTGGTTCACGTGTGCCATATCGACGACTGACTCCTAATTGAAAAATATAAACAGATTTACAGTACTGCAAAGTTAGTTTTCAAGAGTACAAGGACTAATGCATGCGCCGACGAAATCCATTTTAATGAGCAGGTAACTAAGTTGAAGTTAACGGCTATAAGGAGTTTTTGTTAAATTCTATTGGCAAAATGAGTGAAACTAAAGTAGCGTTCATGCCAGTAATCACTGGTAAAATAAAATTTCGCATCAGCCCTACTCATAAACCAACAAAAATGCAGAAGCTAAGTACTCTATATGATGGTGACACAATCGTCAATGCTGTGTTATAACGCGTAATAACGATTTATCGTCGCATTCAGAAATATCATTTGCTCACTATAATGAGTGATTGAAAATAACACCATAAATGCACAATCCTTTTACTTCGTTTACTAAAAATGTCGAGGTAAGATAACCTCAAGCCAAGTTCAATACTCAAAAACTGAAGGATCGGGCCACAAAGGATATCTTCACTGCAATCATCAGGAAAATAGTGGAGACACAAATCAACACTAATGAAGAGACTAGCGCCGAGAAGCACTGGAACAACCTGAAAGCGGTGTGGAGTCAAACCTGCATAGAAGTTCTATACAGAAAGAAGAGACAGGAGAAACAGTGGCTCACTACGGACACATGGAGACTTATAGAAGAGAGAAGGATGTTGATACAAAAGATTATCCAGTGAATCAACGACCAAAAATAACAGCAGTTGAATGCAAGCTACAATACACTGAACAAAAGAGTAAAGAAAAGTGCCAGGGAAGACAAAGACAATATTTTGAAGCCATGGCAAGTGAATCAGAACAAGCTGCAGGCAAAGGAGACCTCGCAACACTCTACCAAACAACTAGGTACCTATCGGGCAAAAGTTTGACAGAAATTAAGCCAGTGAAGGATGACAATGGAAAGTCAATCACCAAAGAGATGGAGCAAAGGAAACACTGAGCTGAACACTTCAAAAGACACCACCTACAACGTGCCCAATAATACCAACAGTGGAAGCAGAACTACCAGTGGACATCAACCCTCTAACCAAAACAGAGATCCTGAAGGCAATAAGGATGCTAAAAACTGGAAAAGCAGCAGGACCAGACGGAATCCAAGCAGATGCATGGAAAATGGACCCAGAGACATCAGTGGATTTGATGACACCACTACTGGAGAAGGTGTCGAAAGAGGATAGAAAATTCGAAATCTTTCGATATTCTTCAGACTCAGAATTTGTTTGATGACCTCTTTACAATCAGCTGATGTTCGATGGCTAATCTATTAGGAAATGGGGTTCTTATTTAAGTCGAAACTTTGCCAAACGGACGCAAACAAATAATAAAAACCATTTCATACCTCGCTGTCACTCTAAAGTGGTGCTTGAAATTCTGTCTACTTAATTGCTTTTAAGTAGCTCATCTTTAAGATTAGTTTATTTTTAAAGTCATAAAAAAACTCAACACCGATGGAGGAATGGATAAATTTAGTAGAGATTTCTGGAGTTTATGTTGGAGATCGAAACACCCCTCCTTTATGTCACTTCTACTACTCTGACTGCTAAGTCATACTGTCCCAACACAATTTTTCAGACTACGGTCACCGATGACCTAGTGAAAAGTATAGCTAAATATTAGGCTACAAAAAGCTTCGCATGTTGAATTTTGCATTCTGTGTTCACTTTCATTCAGATACAAAGATATAGATAGGAGGCTTATCGGTTTGATTACTCCGGTGGTATTTAATTTGAAGGATATTTTCCCAGCGTTTAAAATAATAGAGATTGGGTTCGACACTCATCAATAACATCTATACATGAAGGCACGTCAAGGTGACTGGTCTTAGACAGGACAAAGTACGAGTCCCAGATTTTTTTACTAGCAGATATTAGGTGTATGATCAGCACTTCATGCGGGGTCTTTCTTTATTGAGCTGGAATACACTGAAAAGTAACTAAAAAATTAGTATGGTAGCAGTTATTCAGATGAAATTCACGTGATCCACTGTCCCTGCTCTTCTTTCTAGTGTCTATGAAATAATGTCCAGGTAACACGTTGAATACCACTTCTCCTGCAGGGAATCATTCTAGTAATTTAGTTGTCACACAGAATTTACTAATGGGAGGCCCAAAGTTCGCTTAGGCATTGACTTTACTGCTTCTTTCCGGAAATATTCAAGCACAATTTTAGTCGACTGACGAGAGCTAGTTATGCTCGTGATAAGGAATTCAGTCAAACCTGCTACATAATTTACTATAGAAAAATAAAACCAACTGACTGCATTTTCTGAGGCTTTTTACATGCTGAAAGGATTTTCACTAAGAAAACTTGGTTTGTCCAACCACGTAACACTTTTTGTATTAGGTGTGATAACATTTATGTGAATAATGCTTTGTATGGCATCATACAGAAGATTATGATGAAAAAAGCCAAGGAAGAAGTTATTTCATCTGAAAATGTAAAGAATGACTTACTGAAATCGCGAAACTCCTCAAACTCTGGAATATTTTCATCACCAGCTGTAGAATATTCAAAAAGTGTATATAGCGTATCATAAAATTCTTTTAATAATTAATAAATCTCAGTAATATATTAAAATTTATTAATTATACAGTGCATTGATAGACAGACAGATAGACTTATATGTAAACTGTCAATCAAACTGAATTACTTTCTGTCTAAAGCATGAATTACTTTCTCTACTTATTAGATTTACGGCAAGTTTGTTCAACTTAGAATTGGACTGTTACAGATCAATGTGATTTAGATTTCGGCTGATATCTACAGAGATCTAAACACGTTTTTGGTTCTTGTTCAGTGTTTTTTTTTCAAATTTTCAGTGCTAGCCTCGATGCCCTGCTGATTCCAGAACAATGAGAAAACAGTACCTCACTACTTTGTAAATCTTCTTCATCAACATAAGGTGTAGTTTTACTACACAGTGGTTTGAATAACTACGTCTCATATTTGTAAACCAAGGAAAACTCGTGAAGGGTAAAATTAAAACCCAAAAAACCGAATCAACATATATATATATATATATGACATTGTAATCAACCTAGGTAACGACCTCCTGCTTTACTGATTGCAAATTTGTTTCAACTAAAGTATCCCTGCGGAATTTCAGAGTTATTAGACGGTGATAAACAGACTACCTGACTGAAGTACGTCTCCATAGGTAAATTAAATGTTATAAACGAAGGCTGGAATATATTCGAGTAGCGGTGAACTACAAACCGATGTGAAATGGAAAATTTAGAAACATTTATTTCACTAAGTAGCCAGATAGTAACTTAGCTCTAAATGCATCGACCACAACTTGTCAGACAAGAATTAAGTATGACAACCGGACTAGGTGATACAGAACTGCCTTACACTATAGTGCGCTTTTGTGTTGGTGCCAGATTTTGAATTTAGGTGGTAGTTATCAGCAAGGAGTATTAACACAGCCCGTATGCATCTCAATCATCGCCAAAGTCAGTTCACTCAAAACCCCAACTAAAAGGTAACCACTTATGGGAGCATAACATTATGAAGCACCACACGCTATCATTCCACTGAAAATAAATGTTTTATTTTGTTCTAAAAATGACCATTTACAGGTAAACAATAACAAATTAGATGTGTTTTCTCAGACTCACGTCTTGCGGAAATCGGTCTCGAATCGTAATTCATGTCAGTATGCTTTTCTTATAATATTAATAACCATACAAATAATATTTATGATGTTGTGATTTGTACTAAAGTGACCTTGAATACATAAAATCGATACAGACTCGACAGATTATTATTATTTAAGCTCACAAACAACGAAGCGTGACACATAGGAGTGTCCTTCCATTTGAGCAGGAAGAAAAATGCTGAAATGATATTAGCCATGTTAAATTTCACTTATTATTTCTCTCAGTCATAAAGTAAGAGCACAATTGAAAATTCACTGAGAACTCCAGTCTGAATAAATATTTCCAAAGTTTCCACTTCTACGGAAAAATTTCAGTCGCTTGTTAACAAAGTGAGGCAGTTTTAAAATGAATCATTCAGTAGTTTAATGATTTCTTTGTATTAAGCTTTGTGAATTGTATTTGAAAATACAACAAGAAATGCACTGAAAATCTGAGAAAGGTGTGAGAAAGGATGTACTTGTGTAGCATGTGCCACTGATAAGACTAATCAGTAGTATATAAAAAGACGTTCATTGGCATAAAAATATTAAACAACCGACATGAATTTGTCATCATAGATAGCGAATAATTCAGAGCTGCCAAAAAGTATGGGAGACATGCAAAGAAGACAAACAAACACAATACGAAGGGCTGAACTAGTACAACATACAGAAGATCTGTACAAATGATGATTTGCAGATAAGATGTACATAGTTTTGCTGTGTATATATCAAATTCCAAATAAACATTCCGTTACCAAGTCACTTTGGCAGAAGAAGCATCAAAGATAGGACTTCAGGTGAACATAGAGAAGACAGATTCCTGGGCAAAACCACCAACAGCAGCAACAACAACAACAGACAACGATCAGCATAAATAGAAGGAACCTGAAAGAAACAACCTCTTTTACCTACCTGGGAAGCTTCGTTTCAACTACAGGCGGGCGGAACTGACGAGGATATCAAAGCAAGAATCGGAAAAGCAAGACAAGCTTTCATTTCTCTCAAGTCTGTGTGGAGGTCAACAGCACTCAGCATCAAAAATAACATACGGATTTTCAACTCCAATGTGAAGTCAGTGCTACTCACCGTACGCATCAGAGACTTGCACTGCGCGTCATAAAGAGAATCTCAAACAAACTACGGACCTTCATTAACAGTTGTCTTCTCTCAATACTCAAGATCAGATGGCCGACCAGAAAAGATCAACACCAGTGAGGGATCTCTGAGAGCGAACCAACCAGGAACCAATTGTGAAACAAATAGGCAGGAAGAAATGGAGATGGATTGGCCATACTCTCAGGAAACCATCAAGTGACATCACTAGACAATCCATCGCTCGAGTGGAA